GGCTTATTGGACTTGACTTATTAGAAAATTGGGAGGCAAAAATAGATTTAAAAAATAAAGTACTTATAACACGTAATTCAAATAACCCTATTAACATGTATAACTCGCGAAACGTTAATTGGTACGAAGATATAATACCGGCTAATTCTTCAAAAATTATTAAAATTCCTATTAATTTGCAGGACGGTGATGCTTTTATAAATGAGCAAAGTATTTCTAATTGTGTCATTAATCAATGCTTAACTACTGTTTGTAATAACCGCGGATTTTTAGAAGTTTTTAATCCATCACAGCATGATTTAATATTTTCGTTAGATCGACCCGTTCAAGCAGAATCTTATAACGTAGAGTGTTCACGTTCTGTCCAGCATACTCCGCGAGCGACCGAAGTTCTATCACGACTTCGAACCGATCATTTAAACGCCGAAGAACGCGCGAATCTAGAATTGTTATGTAGTAAATATGCGGACGTATTCTACATAGATGGAGAAAAATTAACATTCACGAATAAAATTAAACATCGTATTCGAACCCAAGACGAAATTCCCGTATATACGAAAAGTTATCGATATCCGTATGTACATAGAGATGAAGTTAGGGACCAGATAGGCAAAATGCTAGATCAGGGTATAATCCGTCCCTCAGAATCCGCTTGGAGCTCGCCTATTTGGGTAGTTCCGAAGAAGGCTGACGCGTCCGGTAAAACTAAATGGCGTCTCGTGATAGATTTTCGTAAGTTAAACGAAAAGACGCACGATGACAAATATCCGATCCCCAACATCAGTGACGTGTTAGATAAACTTGGTAACTGTCAGTATTTTACCACTTTAGACTTAGCTAGCGGATTTTACCAAGTAGAAATGGACCCTGACGACATTCCGAAGACCGCGTTTAATGTCGAAAACGGACATTATGAATTTCTTCGCATGCCAATGGGACTAAAGAACTCTCCGTCCACTTTCCAGCGCGTAATGGACAATGTGCTAAAAGACCTTCAGAACACCGTCTGCCTGGTCTATTTGGATGACATAATCGTTTTTAGTACCAGTCTCCAAGAGCACATGACCAATTTAGAAAAGGTTTTTCAAAAACTTCGCGATTCCAATTTTAAAATCCAGATGGATAAATCTGAATTTCTTAAATTAGAGACAGCATATTTAGGTCACGTAATAAGTAAGGATGGTATTAAACCAAACCCTGATAAAATTTCCGCAATTCAGAAATATCCACTTCCAAAAACACCAAAGGAAATCAAACAGTTCCTTGGTTTAGTCGGTTACTACCGAAAATTTATACCCGATTTTGCGCGAGTCACTAAACCCCTTACTCAGTGTCTTAAAAAAGGTAGGAAAATTGTCGCAGACACAGAGTACATAAATTGCTTTGAGAAGTGCAAATTACTATTAACTAATGATCCGATTCTCCAATATCCCGATTTTTCTAAGGATTTTGTTCTCACAACTGACGCGTCTAACGTAGCTATTGGTGCCGTACTATCTCAGGGCACAATTGGTATAGATAAACCAGTTTGTTTCGCGTCTAGAACTTTAAATGAGAGCGAAATAAATTATAGCACTATCGAGAAAGAGCTCCTCGCTATTGTATGGGCAACTAAATATTTTAGGCCTTATTTATTCGGAAGAAAATTCAAAATTGTAACCGATCATAAACCACTCCAGTGGGTTATGAATTTAAAAGAGCCCAACTCCCGCCTAACTCGTTGGAGGCTCAAACTTTCAGAATATGATTTTACAGTTATTTATAAAAAAGGCACAAGTAATTGCAATGCCGACGCTCTGTCCCGCATTGAGATCCATAACGAGGAGATCAGTTCAGTAGTTGCTAATGCTTCAGAACGCCCACCATCAGTTGATAATTCGTCTACAGCATCCGCTCACACTAGTTTAGAGAACCCAATTTTAGAGATTCCAATCGTTGCGGAACCTCTAAACAAATATCATAGGCAGTTATGCATTAGAGTAGTAGGTGATATTAAAAAACGGCCAACGGGTTCGAAACCGTTTGATACGCATACTAGAACATCAGTACAAGTTTCTAGCTCTAATTTAGAATCAGACGTAGTAGATATAATTAAAGAATTTGTTAATCCTAAGGTAAAAACCGCGTTGCTTATAAATCCTCCCTTAGCTTTTTATGACATTATACCGATCATTCAAGATAAATTCAAAAGTTCCGCAATGAATTTAGTGCTGTGCAAATACGAAGTAGAGAACGTTAAAGAGTACTTAAGACAGCAAGAGATACTCAAACATTACCACGATGGTAAAACTAACCACCGCGGAATAAACGAGTGCCATCTAGCTTTATCCCGTCGTTACTATTGGCCAAAGATGAAGGACGATATAACTAAATTTATTAATAGTTGCACTATTTGTGGTCAAGCGAAATATGACCGTAATCCTATTAAGCAACAGTTTAATATAGTTCCCCCGGCAACAAAACCCTTCGAAATAGTCCATATCGATCTATTATCCATTCAAAATGAAAAATATTTGACCATAGTAGACGTATTCTCTAAATACGCGCAGGCATATCATATTCGCGACGGTACTGCTATTAGCACGTTACAAGCTTTACTTAAATTCTGCACTCACCATGGTCTCCCATTAACTATTGTTTCTGATAACGGTACAGAATTTACCAATCAGTTATTTAGTGAATTTGTTGCCTTACACAAAATTAATCATCATAGAACTTTGCCGCATAGTCCTAACGATAACGGTATAGTAGAAAGATTTCACTCTACTTTGCTTGAGCACCTTCGTATTTTAAAACTTAGTCATAAAAATCAGGACGTAATTAACCTTATCCCGTACGGTATTTTAGCATACAATAGTTCTATTCATTCATTCACTAAGTGCCGACCTTTTGATATTATAACTGGCCACTTTGACCCGCGAGATCCTCTCGATATAGATATATCTAAGCACTTAATGCAGCAGTACATGCAAACCCATCGTGACAATATGAAACTTGTCTATGACGCAATAAATGAGTCATCGCTGAGTACTCGTACTCACATTATAGAAAATCTAAATAAAACCCGCGAACCGGAAATCGAGTACCAACCCCAACAACGCGTGTTCGTTAACAACCCTTTAGCAAGTCGTCAAAAGCTAGCCCCACGATATAGTCAGGATACTGTTCTTGCGGACTTACCTATACACATATATACCTCTAGAAAGCGCGGTCCCGTAGCTAAAAGTAGGTTAAAACGAGTCCCTAAAAGTGCCCAATTGTTGCAGGGTGCTACTGGTCCTGACTGCTCGTTTGATAACGGCTCAGGAACGCAATCAAGAGATAACACTTGAGAGCCTTGATGATGGTCCTGGATTACTCCCATTTAGACTCGGAGAAACGAGGCTTATTTCCCATTTTCATACTTTCTTACAATATATACAACTCCAAGATATTAGCGATAAAATAGAATTATTACAAGTCCAATTAGCAGATTTTAAACTCCAATTGAAAAATGATACTTTCATGTTATATGAACTACAAATAGAATACTTATCCTCTAAACTATTAAATGTTCTTAGCCACTTAGAATCGTTAGAATCTACTAGAGTTAAAAGAGGTCTTATTGATGGCTTGGGTTCCGTAATTAAAACTATCACTGGTAATTTAGATCACTCTGATGCAATAAGGTACGATAAGGCTATTAAAATTTTACAGGATAATGATAATAAAATTATCAATCAGTTTAATTCCCACATTACTTTAAATAACGAGTGGATGGCCCAGCATTCTGATATCATGTCTAAACTTGTTGAAAATCAAATAAAAATTAATGAAACTTTAAAGATTATTTTAGATTCAGATGCATATAGAGACTCAAGTCTTATTAAATACATGAAATTTGCGCAACATTTAGCTATTATTACAGAGAACATAGATGACGTTATCAGTGAACTTATTAGAATAGAAAATAGTTTAGCTTTTATCCGTGCGTCAAGCGCGCACCACTCAATGATTAGTATTAAAGTTTTAGGTAAAATGATTAATAGGTTAATATCAATATACGGTAAGGAACATGTGTTAGAGTTAGAACTAAGGGAATATTATGAGCTAATAAAACCTGGTTATTATTTCTCAGGTACCAGAATAGTAGTTATATTTAAATTACCCCTTTTTATTAAAGATAGTTATGACTTGTATAGATTGTCCATTGCTCCTAATAAATACCAGCAGGCCCTCATCCCTCCTTATCCTCTAATAGCAACAAACAGGAAAGGTTACGTGTACATGGAGGCAGAATGCCCGAAGTACAATCACTGGTACCTCTGCGGTGAGAAGATGGACCACCAGATACGACAGCAGCCAGACTGCACTCAAGAGCTCATCATTAACCAAGCCTTGGACAAGACCTGCCAGATGACTACGATAACACTCTCAAGAATCTCCTTGGAAGAACTTGACGAGAAGCACTATATCATATCCTTCCCAAATGCTACGAAGATTCATCTGCGATGCGCACGAGATGACTACACCATCCTTAGTGGCACCTACTTAATCACAGTGCCTGTCAACTGTTTCCTGTTCACCTCAGAATTCACTATCACTAATACTAATGATCAAATTGAAGGACGCCCTTTGAAGATAATGAAACTACCATACGATAAGGAAGCTCACGCCAACTCTTCATCCCACGTTTATCTCAAATCAATTGACTTGACAAGATTACATGAAGCCCAGCATCACCTAGTGACGCAACCAACTCTACAAATTGAACAAGTACCAGCGAACTATCTTTATCATACAACTATACCACTGTACACTATCATACTAATAAGTGTACTTGTAGTCTCAGGTGTCCTGATACTAAGACACTTTGGGTTACTACAACGCCAGCCGAAGGTAAAGAACACCCCTACTCGAGATGACATCTACGCGAAGCCTGAAAATCCTGGATCGCAGAAGACAGCAATATTTCACCATCTCAAAATGCAGAAATAGTTGCTGTTCTCAGGGGGGAGGTGTTATATGGACGCACCCTTAGCAAATCGCAAGTAAGCAGCTGCCCCGTGTACTATTGCAACATCGTTCACACGAGGCAAGAATGCAACGTTGACGGAAAGAGGTAGCGACGAACTCAAAGGAGGCCGGCGCCATCCGACACTGCGTTTTAATGGGAATCTTCCACATTTCACAATTACTTCTTTTAAACATTATTACTGTGTCTCGGTCATTCCATATCTAGCATCGATAGGAACTAGACTAGTTTCTTTAGTAGTAAATTTAAATTGTAATTACATAAGTTTTATTTTAATTAAATTACTTTGAATTAATTTTGGTTTTTTTTTGGGTCCTCCGGCGGCGACATCCAAAAAAAAAAAAAAAAAGGAAATTTTGGTGGGGGTTATTACCTCTTTTTTTTTTTTTTTTTTTTTTTTTTTTTTTTTTTTTTTTTGGGGAACCTTTCCCCCCGGAAAAAAAAAAATTTTTTCCCCCCCCTTTTTCTACCCCTTTTTTTTCCCCCCCCCCCCCCCCCCCCCCCCCCCCCTTTTTTTGCCCCCTTTTTTTTGCCCTCCTCCCCGGATTATTCTTCCCTCCGCACTCCGCAAAGGAGGCGTCGAGCTGTATGCGGGCGACGATCCGCCAGCTCCACCACTCCCAACGCGACCACCAGTTACCCAGTCCCATCTAAAAAAAAGAGAAATAAATACACATTACTATATTGAGAAACAACTAATAATTACAACTGAAGTTGATATATGAATGATATATTGATAGTTAAACTAAATGTATTTGTTTGGGTAAATAATATTAATAAACTCGTCATATTATTAGAATATTAACGTTACTGCTAGTATGCAGAGCTGTTAGAGTTTTCAACCAAAAATGTTGATTATAGTACCTATTATTCGTGTTTGTAGTGTTATTAGCAATTGCGGCGTCTAATAGATGAGCAAGCGCAGCCAACATGGCCGCCAGTAAGGCTGGTGGGGCGGGGCCGCCTCGTACCAGTTCTAGGGTGCGAGAGGCCAAGGCTTGCGTTACACCGCCTATATCTGCACGCCCGCAGTGCGCGTACATGCTCTTTCGGGACATGTACATTATTGAAACCAGACATCTGAAAGAAGCAAAATATAATATTATTAAAAACCGAACAAGAGGTGGGATTAAGTCGCGACATTCTCTATTTCAGCTATACTATCTTATAAGCATATAATTATTTTGATCTTAATTACTAATACTAATAATTACTTTATAATTCTATGATTCGTTATGTCTGAAAATGGAATAAAAAAAATTGCCAAATAACATTCAAAAACTTCGGCTGAATTAGCATACCTGTCCAGCGGCAATGGCGGGGCGTCATGTTCGTCAAACGCAGCAGCAAGGTGATCTGCGAGCAGCGGACCCCACCAACGAGCCGATCCACACAATCTTGATAATAAGGTGGCGACAGCGGCGCCACTGCGGCCACCCCACTCCCAGGAAAGCGGGATAACGCCGCGGCACCATTCTGCGCTAATCTCCTCGTATTGCTGCAAGTTAATAACACAATTAAATGCATTTTTTTAACAAAGAGGTGTTTTATATAATGTAATAACTATCTCGTGGAAAAGTAATTATAATAGTCTCTGGTACAAATGACAAGAAGAAAACACTTGTGTTAAACAGTAGGTCGTTAAAAACTGTATCTGAAGAAAATTACGAAATATATATACTATGAACTTTGACAGTTAAACGTGAGATACTATGATTAGGTTCAAAGTGACGGAAATTACTAAAATAATAATAACTCCCCGACATATAGATACCGTGAACGTGCTTACGTATTCTTTAATTTAAATTTGCCAAAAATCTCTCTTCTAATATTTACTTTAAAATAGAATACTATTTTCTAACCACACTGACCACATCATTCATCTGAAACAGGAAGTACAACAGCAGATCGACCACATTCTCCGTGATCACTCTTAGCTTGTCCGTGGAAGCTCTGTCTAAGAGAGCTTCAGTCGTCACATGTCCAGTTTCAACCGCGGCTAGCACCCGCTCGTTGCAATCGGGGGCTTTCTGCAACTGCCTGAGTATGTTCGTGCAGTTATGCAACTGCTGCTGCAGTTCTATGCACTCCTGGTACGCTAGGACCACTTTGGTATCCGTGTCTGCCTGGTTAAGGAATGCCATCATATGAGATGCATTCCCGTTGTACAGTTCTAAGTATGGGTTGAGGAGATCTATCAGCTTACCAGTTGCCAATCTGAAATTTCATTTTTAGGTGACTTGCAATGGGAAAACGTAAACTTTATTATTCTCATTTGTCTAATGATAGCTTAATATACATTAAAAAACGAAACCTAATTTAAAACATGACGTATACCTGAATCGACAGCTGAGGTCCTGGTGTAACGCATTCAACGCGTTAATAGATGCGTTGACGTTGACAATATCTGCGATCTCGCCGTAGAACCAACCGAGTGGGATCTTGCATTTCATAGCGGACATGCCGTAGCGACCAATCGTTGTTATCTATTAAACATATTAAGAGTTACACGCTTTTTAAAGACGAGACACAAAAGCTCTTAAGAAAAACAGAGATATATACTGCCGGGGACATTTTTTAGATCATTTAAAGGAAAATTATTATGACATATTACAAGATTTCAACAAGATTTGTGTCTCACTTTCATATATCTGCAGAGTAGTGGCGGCTGAATGTCGGCGAGTACTAAATGTTTTGTTGCAATATCCGTAGCGAAGGCCAATTTGACTGAATCTGTCTCTTCGCCCACCAACCAGGTGTCTATACACAGTGTGACCAGGTCAGAACACGAGGGAATTATCTGAGGACATAAGAGGATACATTACAAAAAGTTTTAAGTCATTCTTGATTGTTGAGTTATTAAAACTATAATAACTAATAATACGCTAGTACTTACAACATCAGTCAGCCGCACGGTGTGCCCAAAGTCTAAGACAATATAACGCCTTGCGCCAGAGTGCATTCTTTCTACTACGAGGGTGTGCTGTGGCGGTCTCGTTACTAGTGCAGCCCACGGAATGCCACATTGGTCCTGATCCTGATAAACATAAAATAAATTTCAACAACAACGATAAAAAATGGTCCTTCGAGCCGAGCCGTCGAACCGAACAACTATACGAACCCTAAACATTTTATCTTCATTAGCGTCAGACTTGTCCTGGGGATCGCAGTCCATCGTTGAGCCGTCAGCATCTACCGGAGAGGCATCCTTAGAAGACTGCTTCATTTGTCCCTCCTTAACCACAGTCCAAAGCTAAAATACAAGTTTTAAACTATTTAATATAATCGGTCGGTTATCACAATATTCACTGAAACTTCCACATTGTAAATGAAAATAGACTGTAAAATTATTTAGAATACCTGATTCGAATCGGCTGTGTGTGCGGTGACTACGGGCGGGGGATGAGAAGTCGCGGCGGACTCCAGCTTGGTACCATCGGAGGCGACATGAAAGCTCACGTGCAATGGCATTGCCTCTCCCACCATGGTCAATGCACCCACACCCGCTTCTAGCTCACACCAATTATGTGTTTGGTTGTTATTTGTTTGGTTTTTGGTTTCACCTGTAAAAGGTAAGCTATGTGAGAATTTAAACTTTAACAAAAAATAAAAATAAAATAATGTTTTCACGAAGGTAACTTAAAAAAAACAATACAGTTAAACTACCAGTTTGCAAGTCCAGGGCGTACAACGAACAAAAAGAACTGACAAAAAATAGTCATGTGGACTATTGTTTTTTAACTTGAAAGCGGATGATTCTCAAACCCAAGTATTGGTATCAATTAAATAATAATAAATTCAGTGCGCTAAAAATGTACTAATATAATTTCAAATTAATTTAGGTGAAGAACATACTTGAGTCGAGTGGCATGTTAAGTAGATCCCTCAGTTGCGACTCTGGTTTGGGTGCCGACGGCGCCATCACATCACCGGCTAGCACGCTAGCATACGTGACCGGGAGTGGTGGTCGACCAAACTCCGGTATCTCCACAGAGAAAATACTGCGCTCCAGGGCTAGACCGTATAAACCGAACCTGCCAAAGACACGTTGGTTGTAGAGAAAATATTTCCCGTATGTAACCTTGATGGAAAACTTACACACACGTCACAATTTACTTAAGACGTTTTAGTCGTATAACTTAAGGTGTATATAAAAAATAAATATGATCATAATTTACACAGACCTGGCCCTAAGCAACTGATGATATGGATTAGTCCGTTCACGAAGGCATCTCGCCGCTTTTTCCAATAGGTTAAGACACCGCGACACCAACTCGGGCGCAGCGACGCGCGACGTTCCGTGCTGTGCGAGAGCCATCAGCCATTTTAGCGCGCCAGGAGACTCACAGGCGCCCGCCAATGGAATGCACGATATCACGGTACACGTTAACGTGCTCTCAAACGTACACTTCCAAGGACGAGGCAGCTGTTTCACACCGCTGCAAAATTAAATATTGAAAAGATATTAGAATAAGGTAGGTATATAAATAACACATGCAATAACTGTATACTTATATACGTACTCGCTAGTCGTGAGAATGATCTTAACGCATTTCTTAGCAATGCTTCTGTTCGCGCATAAAATGCACTTCTTTAGCAGCGCATCCGTGTGCTTCTCGATAACAGCGATGCATTCCAATTGCTGAATTTCAGCGGAGCTCGGCGCGTCCTTGTCTTTACCCTTTTCGTTCTTCGCTAAGCGCATGCGCTGAAGACGTATCGATATAACCCAGCTCAATATATCGAGGGCCAATTTACGCTTCTCATTTGAGTCTTTGCTAACGGCTATTTCGCAGAGCGTATTTAAAAAGCTGTTGGATTCGAGCATGGCAATTCTCTGCTGTCGTTCAATAGGAACGGTCGTGTGTGGCGTGGATCTCACCGTTATTGATATCTGATGCAACCAGTCGCAACCGATAAAGCTCGACTTCTTTGTACTGCTTTCTCCTGATTTTGGAATCGGACCCTTGTTTATATCTTTAGCGGGGTCAAACAGAGTTTTAATGTGGATTAAGAACGTTCTACCTCTGGCTCGGTACAGTCTTGGACTCGTTAGTATCAGCGTACCGGATTGCTGACTCATGTCTAAGCCGGAAGACAGTAGCAGCGGTCCCGCCAGGATCTCTGCGTTATGCGCTTTCAAATATTCTTCGCTATTCACAGGATTTTCAACGTTAGGCGCGTCTACCGTTACGGCAAAGCGTGAATTTGACTCCAGACCCTGACCGAAAGTGGCGTCTTTATAATATCCTATACCATGTAAATTTTGCTTCAATAATGTCACTTGTATTATAGGTAAGTTGACAGAATTCGAGGAATGTAACGTAAAAGCAAATTCAATATACGCCAGGGGTACATTGTACGGCAAGGTCAATTCTAAAACGTGTTCGTCCCAAGTTGAAGACGTATTTTGAAGTCTCCACGACTTGTTGTTCTGGTGGTCTGATCGAGAACGTTGGGCGGGCGACAATTCACACCAGAATCCGGGCACAACGGCGCTGTACGGTACCGTGGGATTAGGGCAATAAGACCCAGTAAGAGACATTAAAGAATTAAGTTCAGATTCATCCAACTCGGTCTTATTGGCTAGAATAACGGGGGGCGGCGCGGGCCCGATATCTTTGGGCGCCCGCTGTAGCATGTCGAAATCAATATTCGCCAAGTCATCTTCGATCGCCTCACCGGATACGTCTTTATCGTCATTGTTGAAAGCGTAAAAATATATCGTTCCCTGTTTTGTGGAAACGCTCAACCGCTCCACAGATGCGCAGTAGGTGATGGACGTGAACTCTCCCTTCGGTGCTCTTTTCTCCGAGATCAAGTTGAAATCGGGGATCGAATACAGCCTCAGTTGTCCGTCGGCACCGACGGATGCGAACGTGTATTGCTCGTTTTTATCTAGAGGCAACAAGCACAGGTCCACAGGACTCTCACCGTATGGCAACTCTTTTACGTTAACGGGATTATCTTCGAGGGTGTAAGTACAAGTTTTATTGTTAATTTTATAGTATAGAAAATACGTATTTGCATCAGTCTTATCGATTTGGTCGACTTCGTCCACGTCCATTTTTGCTTCACTCTCTGCGGCGACTTCCACGGCGTCCTTAACACTGTTGGGATCAATCGAGGAAACGATAACGAGCAAATGCTGCTTGTCTTCAGAAGGTAAAAGATGGGTGATTCTAGAGTCATCTGCGATTTTTAGAGTTGCAGGCAGACCGAGGCATTGAATAGCGATTCCTTGCGAAATAGCCTCTTCGGCGGGCAGCTCATTCTCAAAGCCTTCATTGGGATTATTGCTGAGGACTGTTTGCGTACCAGGTTTGCTTTTCATTGTAATCGGTAACTTCACTTTTTCGGAGCTATCGACACCTTCGTACCATTTCAAGTCCGATATTTCTAAGGGACCCTGGCCAGGCATACTGAGGAAATGCGTAATCGGACTCCCTTGTATCGCGTCAGTCTGGTCTATAACTGTCCCTACAGCACCCAGACTACTCTTCCATGTCTTAACAGCAAATTTACCAACGTATTCCATAACGCTAGCTTGGGCTCCCTCTGGAAGCTCTGGTAGCAGAGCCGTAGGCGGCGGCGGTGGAAGCACTTTAAACGGTTTGGTGAATATTATCTTTTTAGGTTCCCAAACTTTACAATCTTCTTTGCTGGATGACGCGTCTAAATTAAAAACGTTGCTGAGCTGCTCCTCCAAATTCGTGCAGTGCATCGGAAGATCTGTGTCTTCGTCAGAGTATTGAAAAAATATGTCGTCATATATGTTTGTTTCATCAGTTCTCTGGAGAGAGCACACTTTTTTACTTCCCCCTGGCTTCGAGTTGCCTCCGCTGCTGTTAGATGTGTGGCCCATCGTTGTCATCGAACTCGTGGAAGAATGGTGTATATCATATGTGAGTAAAAATAACATTTTATTTGTACACGTCAAGTTACTCTTCGCTTCATTTTGGTCATTCATTGCCTTGATGCTCTCCTTGGACTTCTCAGGGTCGCCTGAATCGAAGAGTGCTTTACTGGAGTCATCTTGGATGGGTTGGTTAGTGGGTGTCGTCGCTGTTCTGGTGACAATAACGGCGCATACAAGAGACGGTTTGATATTGGTAGTGCTCAGCTCTTTCTCCACATTTTCCGTATTTTGTGCTTGAGGATATTTTTCTTGGTGTAAAGCCATGCCAATAAAACTCATGGCAGTGAGCTCAATATCATACGTAGCTACAAAAAAAAACATGGTGAGTTTATAATTAAATAAAAAGTTATTCACAGAAAATAATAGTAATTTCTTATTGGTCTTAATTTTATTTTACATTACAATTGCAACATTAGTTACGCGGCCTAGACGTCATGTTAAAATAAGTTCAGCCACGCCGAAAAAAATAAGAACCAAGAGAGACACCAATCTTCACTCACATGAGTCCTTTTCGAGACTGGCCGACCACACTTTGTGTGTATCATTAGTGAGAATGCCACTGAATATTGAATCATAAGGCGATATATTGAAGACATTTTTTAACTTGAGGCCGCAGTCAAACTTCCAGATGCTTCCCTTTCCATCCGATGTGCCTGTCGCTATAAAGTCGCCAGTGTTGCCCTTTGAAACTACTTTTACATTTGCACATCGAACTGCACAGGCTGTTGCATTGGTTACCTAAGTAATAATTAAAGAATAAATATAAGAAGAAAACGAAAAAATAAGTATTGTTTGTAAGTTAAGTTTAAGTAGTAGAGACCACATTTAAATCATACATTTTTAAAATACGAAATATATTAGTTTATTTATTTGAACTACGACCCGTCATTTCGGATGCTTTGCAACCGTGGTCGTGGTCAGAAAAGACTAAATATGGAAGTAGTCCCTAATGTCAATCACAAATCTCGGCTGGAGAAAATTTTAAATTGAAATGCAATAAACATAAAGCCCTGAGAGACAAGAACAAGTCTATTTCAGATGAATACACATACATGTAAGACACTAAATTGACACTAAATTAAATTTTTTTTTCATCAAGTTTTCTGGAAAGTTTTTTTATTAATTATAATAAGATTAACAGATAATAAGATTATTCAACAAAATTAATTACTTAGCCTTTTTTGAAATACTTTATTTTATGAACAAATTGATCATTATCTTTTAAACATTTTGATCTTATTAAAGATGTATAGAGAATCATGGTTTACAGTTTAAAAAATTGAAAAGTAGTAGTATATTAGCAACTTAGTTAGTTCCAATAATAAAAAACTTACTGAAATCGGTACGTTATGTGTATATTCGCCCCGCACAAAGGGACAGTTAGGCGAATGCCTTTCGTGCTCCACCCAGGGTTCGTCCGATTTCTCCCAACAAACGAGGCACACCATACACGTGAAGCACATGGCTCGGTCGTCGCCATTGGGGGATGGCTGGTGGTAGAAGCCTGCCTGGGCCATTCGAGCTGGCAACGCCCATCTATTTGGAACAAAGGGACAATTATGTAGGCTTTATAACATTTGTTACCATATCATATCATAACATATATATAATGCAATTAGAAGAGTAAATGTTTTGGCTATCCCTATTCTAGTCCTAACTGGGCTAGGACTACACCTAATAACATTACATTATTTAAGCTTAGTACAGTTATTTACCTCAGTATAATGAAACTATAATTTGTTAGTGCATAAATAGTGTTGTTGTTAGTGCATAAAGAGTGTTAAAAATAAACTAAATGAGTTAGTTAGTTTAAGATGGATTTACAAATGGCGAACAACATATTAACTAAAACAATCCAATAGGTGGAAATATTATTAATGTACATTACAACATATTAGGCACAATTATGTGGTGATTATAAAAGTTTAAAAATTCTAATAATCAGTGACTTGTGAGTTTGATTACTATTAAGTTCAACAGATTTTTAATCAATTTATTTTTGTGTATATTACATGGAGGCTAGGAATATCGAAATTTCCTTAGATTCACGAACCACCATCCACAGATAAAAAATCCGTGAAGTCAAATCGCGTTTCTGTATCTGTCTCTAGATTAAATACTGTCTATAGTTCACGCGAGCAGTACACATTTAAATAAAACACTTTAACAGTTTAAAACGCGATATATTAGTTAAACTTATTTGGAAATGATCTTTAACTTCGGCCCGATGTTTCGGATTATTTGCAGCAGCCGTAGTCACGGCTAATATATCGCGTTTTAAACCGTTAGTGTTTTATTAAATCTGTAGATTTCCGAATAATTACCAAGGTTGAAAGTGCATCTTGTTTAGATGTTATATGGCTGGGCTATTTCACCTTTCTGTCCTCTTCTATCATAAAAAATATTTAAATATAAAAACCCTGTTTTATCACAGACTTACTTGTAATCCATATGTGGCCATCTTTTAAAGGTCTCCTTTCTTTCTGCTTCTGAATACATCAAGGCTCTGGACTCTTCATCTCGGTTAAAAGGCAGCAGTTCGTTAGCTCTTTGTCCAATAGCAGAAGCGATAGCCAAAGCTGGAATTCTTCTGTTCTGACCTTTTAGTTCTTGTACAATGCCCAACATAACCATTCTTAGGGTTGACTGTGAAATTTTTATTATCACTGTGCTCCACTGAAAAAATAACATAATATACAATTAACATCATAACACTAAGGTATTGATATGTTTGCCTGTGTACTCCCATTTAACCTAATGGATTGATCATCATATATGTTAATACTACATTAATTTTAAAAATATAATATAATATAACTAGCAGACCCGGCCACGCGTTACTGTGGCTGAAGTTATTGTATATACCAGTGCCATCTATAGAATTGTATCTTATATAATGTGCCATCTATCGATTACTTACTCAATCCATTGTAACTGTCAATTATTTATAGACAAATAATTTGCAATAAAATAACATTGCGACTATAATTAAAGATCTAAACTATCCTATGTCTCAAGTAGGACCAGACTGCTCACGGTGTGCCAATTTAATTTAAAATCGGTTCAGTAGTTTAGGAGTCCATAGCGGACAAACATCGTGACCAGAGATTTATATATATAAAGATTCATGTTAGTATGTTATCTCTTTAGTTAAATTTTGTCACACATGACATGACATCATAAATTATAGACTATATTATGGTCAGTGAGCTTTGAATATGGTTTAGTAAGCCTTTCTAAATTTCTTCTTAAAAATAAAGGTAATAACTATAATTGCAACCTAACCAATAAAATATACTAAGAGGTACAGAGGAGGGCACAGAACCACAAAATTTCTCCCCTACTTACTACGTTACGCAAGAGCAAAAATGTAAAAACTACTAACCTTTTGCGCCTTGACACCTTTCTTGACGGGTTCACTATCAATGGCCTTCTTGAGTGCTTTGATGAAGTCAGAGAGACCATCAATTGAATGTGCATCAAGGGTCTGGACACATTGGTACAGCAATACTGCCTGTTGTTAAAAAAAAAACAATTTAAAGATGGCCAAAAATATAATATCATTACTATTATGTTCATTGCGTAGATCAGAATCACAGTGTTAATAATCAACAAAGCTTTTCCTTTAAAATAAAATTTAAAGAGACATCCGACTTAATTCACCTTTCCTTACAAAACTAGCACAGACAAAAAACAAAATATGTATTGCAGATTCATGTTCCAGTCAGCGAATTTACATTTTATAACTGAAAATCGTTTATTTATAACTAAACTATATACTAAACAAAACATGTGTAAAATACAAAAACAAATTTGAATGTGACCCTTAGGCGAGTCATTAAGAAGTATCAACTTATATATATTTTAGTTAAAACTTAATAAATACATAATGACATGAATAATTCATAATTTCTATGGTTTGGCACCTATTGTATACCAAATAGAGAGTACAGAAGTGTACTATTTGACTTAATTCATAAACACAAATTTAAAAGAGAAACTTATTTAATAACTACATATTCATATTGTGTTATTTTCAATGCAATATAATTTTAATACTTTATAGCTGCAATGCATAAGCACTTATTCCTAAAACCGATCAAAGTATAAAATACTAGGATGTCTTATTTAAATCTTTTAAGAGTTAATACTTATAGGATTGATGTTAAAATAGGAACTAAAATGGATGGAAGTCTTGAAATATGTGATGCCTTGATAAATGCAGACCACATTCTTGTTAGGCAAAAAATTGTAATACAAAGTTATTTTCTATGTAAACATGATTACCAAAGTTGACTTTTTTGTAGGTAGTATTTAATTTTTGAATTAATTGTTTGAACCTTAGAGTGTAGACCATACCTCAGATAGGACAAGTTCCATTTGAACCAAACTATCTTGTGGCTGTGAGGGGACCAGAGACCGCTGCAAAGCTGTGTGGAGGAGCAAAACTCCATTGTAATCCGTGCGAGCGCCAATAGCACTGCAATCCCACACGAAAACTCTGTCCGCGCCAGAGACATACTCCACTCCCAAATTTCCTTTTCCATCTAAAACAGTACATCTTCGATAAATCGCCGGTAACTACATTGCTTAAACTCCACTTATCGGAATTGTTTACGGAGAACTGTCAAACTATGTGGGACATGAACTACTGATCTATCTAGAACACAAAGTCGTGGAAACAGGAAACCTAGTTATTAAAGCTGCGCTTTATAATGAATGCGAAATATATGTACCAAAAGCTTCTACTTACCCGCTGCTAGACAAGAGGACTGAAGAATCACACCAGAGTTAACATCCAAAACGTGTACACCACCATGATCGGTTTTCACAAGAATTACATTTAAGTTACTGTGATACGTTAGCGAGGTAATGGGAAAAGTCATGCGAACATAGCCATCTTCTCGTAATATCAAAGAATCATCGCCCATCGTGGCCGTGAATACATCTGTCTATTCTACGTAAACGCCATTTGTAATTTTACTTTTTTTACGTCAAATATTTTAACTTTGATGGCCAGTTCAAAAAAAGGCATAGACTATAAATAAATATGGAATTACAGACTATTCTATGACTTATATGCTATCGGAATTAAGTGTAGAAGTAATTTTTAGATTATTTTTAAATGCTAATAAAATTGCCTAATACTTACTTAGAGGTTTAACCCTGTCATTTTCATATATTAGGTCCTGGGGCTCCTTCGGTCCATATTTCGCGGTATTCTGCATGTGTTATCTGTTTGCATAACAATATGGCGCGAAGGAACAAAGGTGAGAAACTTTTAAATTCTGCCCTAGTTTTGAAGGAAGATAAAGTATTTTATTTTTTAAGCAAGACTCACATTAAATTTAACATTTAAAGTAAGATTCTGATGTATTGAGCTATTAATTATGATCAAGTTATAAAATCATTAATAGGACAAATATTGTCTATAATACGACCATATTTTTTAAATAGAATTTGAATAATTCTGTAAGCGCTTATTAGAAGCAATTACATTTATTTACGATTTCGTTTAGAAGAAAATATTGCAACAAATAATTATTCATTACAGTTTGAGTCTTATTTAGTGTGTCAGAGGATGAAAAAAAAGACCAGCCAACAATTTATTACAGGAATATATTAAGTAGGTACTATGTATAGAATAAAGACAACTTTTACTTACAATAATACAAAAAATGTCTTTTTACTATCAACCTTAAGTTTAAAATTTAAAATGTATAATATGGACGGAATAGTATTACTAGGAATAACTACAAAATAACTCGCATATAAATATTAATGAACGCCTTACGAAATATCAAAACAAGTTAAATTCTGGAAAGTTTTAAAAACAAAACACTGTTAAAAACGATAGCATCGTTATTTTAGTCGACATATGGTAGAACTAACTTATGGCATACAAAAATATATTAGTAGATATTAAATATCTACTAATTAGACGTTACAATATAAGGTGTATTTAAAACTCCCAAGATTCAAGCCATCTTAGGCTGCTCATAGTGGAGTTATCATCTTGAGATGCTCCAGTCATGCCGTAAGCAAGTGGGGAGAACAAATAGAAGCTGTAGACAGTGACCGCTATTATGACACCCAGAGTGGAGTGGTAAATGGCGCGGCCTAACTCAGGGCTTAGGAAGCTCTGCACGCTGCGTAGTAGATATTCCGTTAGAATACCTGTATAAAAAAAACATAAGTAGTGTATCCGAAACTTCATACCAAACCAAAAACGAAATCCACAGATTTTTTTATGATTCAGGAGGACAGACAAGCAAGGGGTCCACTTGATGAAGGGTGCAATACCTCAGCAATATAACATCTAAGCAAGATGCGCTGTCGACCTTTTTTGGCTTTGGACATTTGGATATTCACAGAAACCTAAACGCGTTTAAGTTTGACGGCTTTTTTCATCTATGGACAAAAACTCTATATCCCTGCCCCAAATCACAAAAATTTCCAGACTAAGTCCAACATGTTTCAGAAAATTATAAATTGATTGGAAAAATGTTGGATCCTGTGGGGTTCGAACCCACGACCGATTGCATACATTGTTACCATGACACCAACAAGCCCGTCTCAATTATAATATAATTTTTAAAATTCAAATTTTGTGCTGGAATCTTTATCTGTCATTTTTAATTAAACCTATCAATTATTCAGTTGTAATCAAATCCTAGGAATTTCCATATACAGGCTAGATAATATTTGCTAAAAAAATATTTTTGGATCAAATATTAAATGCGTCAGCTTTTATCTAGATCCAGTTTTTCATGGCTTACCGGTGAGCATAGAACTGAAAATCAGAGCAGGAAAGTAATGGTGGAAGTATAAAATGCGACCCATGGCCCAAAATGGGACGTAATGCAGCGCCCAGCCCACAAAGCACCATCCGGCAGCGTTCAGTAGCGAGCGGTTTTCATTGGCTGTACATTAAAAGGATAATTAATTACTTTTTTTGTAGTTCATGCGAGCAGTACACATTAAAATAAAACCGTTTTAACGGTTTAAATGGCGAAATATATATGATATATTTACAAATTATTTTAACAAGGTGACGTTCCGATATTTTGAATTAAAAATGATATGATAGTGTGCTGATTAATGACGATCTGGTCAAGGTAGCGGGGAAAAAGTCTATGGGGAGGCCAATGTCCAGCAGTGGACACCAAACGGCTGAATCGATGAATAATAAATAACATTTATTTATCGATTCAGCCGATTAGAAAATTGTAATCTGTAGAGCCTCACCTGGAACAGTCCCTCCGAAAGCCTCAGCCCGTTTCTCCCTAACGCAATTGATAATGTAGATGAAGAAGAATAGAAGAAGGAATGCCAGATTGGTCCACCAGATAACAGGATTCCCGAGTAAGTAGACCCGGTGAGCGTTACCCGAGAAATATTGGCCCTGGATAACATTTTATGATTAATAAAATAATTTAATATTCAAATCTAAAAGGAACGCTACTTTGGATGCTTTCAAACAAAATATAAGAAAACAATCATCTCTGCTTATCAGTGACCGTAATGTGTAGATTCATACCCAGGACGGGTTCAAATCCCCTAAAAATAATAAATTGTTATGTGATCGTGCAGGATATAGAATTCTGATCTTAACTTTGCCTGTAAATATCAATCAGTGAAACGGACATAGGAATGTGTTCACCCCATGCCCCACAGGGTGACAAAAGGAATTCACTCTTGTAATAATTACCCTGTAATTAATTGGCCACTGCCAGGGTTGTGACGTCACTTCACCTTCCTTCGGCTTAAGACCAGAGTTACCCTGCAGCATCACCGCGTGCGATTCCACAAGACGTTCGATGAAACCAGATGCGTATACTTCGAAACTCATTTTCGGTACTAGAAGCACAGTGATAATATTAACAGTAGGATAAACATAGTTTTATTTATCTTAAAGTGGGTTACCAACTAAATATCAAATTAAAACAACTTCATATAAACTTATGTGACAATTAAGTTTTTAAATTAAAGGTATGCACAATGTTGCTATATATAAAATATATATAAATGCATAAGTTTACTCCCATATATATATATATGGGAGTAAACTTAAATGAGATAGATCCTATGACTACTAAACAATGTTGAGGGATGTTTGTTACAGTTGTAAATAAAATACAGACTTGAAAAACGTACTTTATTCTTCTTTTTTGCTAATCATGTTCGGATATAGATAAAATTAAGAAAACAAATCAGGGTTTTCGAGTTGTTCGGTTTGTTGAAGAATTCTTATCACTCCTGAGTGGGGTAATCACTCGTAATATCGAAATATCGACAATCATTTTAGAATTAGGACGGCTGAATAGCGTGTACCAAGTACTTTAGCTAATAAATTAATGGATAATTATTAAGAACCAATTTAAAAGTATTAATAAGAAAAGACAAGTATAAAAGGATTAGATACAAGGCTTTGTGCGATTACTTACATCCATCGAACACATTGTCCTCGATATTCCAGAGAGCGTTAGGGTCGCGAAGGTTGGGGTTGCATGCCACTTCTTGCTGCTCAAAGCCCCATTTCGGTAGTTGCTTGCTAGTCGTCGTGAGCACACATGACTGTAACACATAGGAAAGGCAATGTCGCAATGTCACTTTAGAATTCTAACGACTTTGTCATTTGTTCATTAATGAGTCTAAGAAGTAACTACAGTAGAATCTCACTAATCCGCCATCTCGATAGATCAATACGTCCAATAATCCGTCCCCTCGCCCCTCCTTCGCTGTGCCATTTGTTAAGTTATACGTTTATGACTATTACTAACTGACTTTGGTACTTCTTGAGTATGTGGTTACGGTACATCACCTCAACCACATACATTATATTACCCACAAAATAGACTGATTTATTATTTTCGAATAGTATATTTGACATACACGATGTTTATCTTAATGAACAATTTTAACTTAATGTAATCTGAACATTCACGTTGTTTTACCTAATTTAAATAATGTTTTTCAATTGGGCTTATGTGTGTAGTCAAAATATGTTTTCTAATAATAAAATAAAATTTTCTTTCTGAAACCTCCTTTTAGAACAATATACATCTATCCTCTAAATTTGAATAAAAAACATTTTCGATCCTATCCAACTTAGATACAAACATTGTATATACAACTTCTCTAAAGACCAATTGTGAAAAGATACTTCTTTGTCTTAGACTAACCTGTAAGTAATGAACGAACACGAGTTTGCTGCGCACTGTCAGTATTTCGTCGTCATCTTTACCATTTGAAACAATTATCTTCCATACATCATTGGCGTCGCCTATTCCATCCTTTGGAGGGAAAAAAATATATTTATTCATAATCTTTGAAGTAGAGTTGTAGCTCTGTTAGAAGGAATAGCATTAATATTTACGTTACATTGAATACTGCAGAATCTAGTTCCGTTGTGTATAATTTATTAATAAACAATTTCATTATTTTGACTTGTGTGTTTAAAGCGCAAGGGGCCCTGGGTTCGAATCCCGGGGAAGCAATCGGATCGTTTCGGTCGGGCAGGGCACAGAATTTTGATCAACTATTTGCCTGTAAATCAAATGCTGTAGATATCGATCTGAGAAACGGACACAGAAATGTGTTCGCCCCATGCCCCACGAGGGAAAATGGGATGTCACGCACACGTCGTTACTCGTTTACGTAATGATAGTTACATGTTTCCACTAATAATAGAAATGAAAAATTATGTGTATAGTTATGTTACACTTTCGCGGCGAACGGCTCCACCGATTTCGTTAAAAATATTTTAAATATTAACCTTCTTAATGAACAAGTCTTACGTTTTTATTTAATTTTTTATATATACAGTGTGTGTATTACAAACATGATTACTACCTCGCCGTATCCAGTGACTTGCATGAACTTTGTGGTCTGTGGTGCTTTCTCTCGATGGGAATGTAGGTTACGGCCTGTGGGTATGTGGGTCAAACGCACCAGATCACCGCTGCGCACCAAAACAACACCGGAAACAGATTCGCGATCATAAGGCTTTATAATCCATTTATTGTTTTCATCTTTGTGGGTGTATGTCGTTATCTGTAGAGCGAATTAAGTATTTTTATATAATCCTTACAATAAAGAAAATTTTATTTAATTTAGCCGCAGAGCCGAAACGTGGGGTACCTCCACATTAACTATCATTTGATTAATTTGAATAATTTTCACATATGCCATAATATAAATTATGGCAATTAACTCGTTTCGGTTCAATACACTATATATGAATAATATTGATACAACCCACCTGTTGTTGTCTCGCTCCAACCCCTTGCGGGTAAAGATGTTGGTGAGAGTGCAGATAGCCACCACCAGTACGATGATTCTTCAAAGTAATTGTCGCCCCATAAGCCAGAACCCTTGGTGCACTCGCGTTGTTTAAACTGTTACCCTGTAGTCGCGCTTGAAACCCGGAGGAGTAGAAGCCGTCTCCACTGCCACTGTCAATTTATAATTATAACAGAATAAAGAAATAATGTTACTTGAAAAATAGTTTTAACTTTGCTTTTTATTTTGTTTGGTAATAGTTGCTTGTTCCTTAACTAAACTAAAACTGATGATGGCAAAACATTGAAAACAATCTCTTAATAACGATTTAAAGATTTAAAAATTGACCGCAATAGCATTCAAATAAAATAAAATAATGTCTGGACTGTCAGGCCATACAAGTAGACATTTTTAAACAAAACACTACAGGTCTCCCCGTGAGCACGGCTGCTGCAAAGCATCCGAAACGTCGGGCCGAAGTAAAAAACCATTTCCAAATAAGTTTAACTAATATATCGCGTTTTAAACCGTTAAAGTGTTTTATTTAAATGTGTACTACTCGCGTAAACTATAGACAGTATCTAAGTAGACATTTTTTTTATATATATCCTACCTCTTGCTGAGTATAGTGAGATGTATCCAAAAGAAGAAAACATAAAGAATTATAGGCCACAGTATCAATGTTATGCTTCTGCCGATAAGGTGTTTTAGCGTTAAACTCTGAAACGATACAAAAAAGTTTATTTTTAAATATATAAATTCATGATTAAAACGTTGTAGTGGCTTGAGCAACGTCATGGGACGCCGATGGTTGTTTGTTCAAATCTTGCCTGTTACATATTGCTTAATTATTGTAGTAAGTAGTGTTTTTATACGAGTTTATTCAGAATTCCATTAAAGTTTACAACACTTTCTCGGCTAAAATGCAAATTTATGAGTTCGTTTATTTTTAATTTACTAAACTAAGACGTTTCGGTTAACAAATATATTTAGCATTTTAAACGGTTTTATTATAATGCATTTGTGTAAACTGGAGCCTCTCTTAAATTTTCAATGAAAGTTACTCACAACTGGTTTTGTCAAATCACCAAGTACATTCCACAGGTCTGCTATAGTCCTGAATCCGACGAACAGGACAATGAAGAGACCGACAAATTTGACAGACATAGTGCAGGCGAGAGAAGCACCAAGGAAGAATTGCCAGCATAACATGTGCGGGGCAAAGGGGGGTGTACCTGTTTCAGTCAATGACCTGACCTAAAAACAATCATTTTATGCTTCACAAACTCACTTTTTATGCCACGGCCCGCATTTCACTACGTCTTGATGTATACTTATACAAACTTCTTTCTAACAATAATCTATCACTGGTAAATTCCATATAATTCTTTCATTACTCATCGGGCAATGTTGAAATGAAATTTTATAACTTGAGATGGAACCGATCGGCCTTGTCGCTATAAGCGATCTCTTCTAGACAACTCAAGTACAAAGAAACTTAATAATAAATTAGTAATAACTTCTTAATGTTAATTTTTAGAATTTGTTTATATATTTAAAAAATTGACAAGATCATATTTGCAGTATTTCTGAAAGGTTTCCTTAAGACATGTGCATTTATAGTTATTTATTTTGAATAGGTACGAAGATATACCTTAAAAGCGCCGTACATGGAGCAGGTCATGAAGAAAAGAAGAATTGGATCCAACAAGATATAGCGGTTGAGAGTTAGGAAGCCAACATCTGAAAGGCAAATAGTAAAATTAACCGGTTAAGTAAATACTGTAGTTTACACTAAAAGTACACATTATAAACTACTACTATTGTCTCCCCGTGATCACGGCTGCTCGAATGCATTCGAAACGTCGGGCCGTTGTCACAAAAATTTGTAAATAAGTTTAAGTAATACATTTCGCATTTTTTACCGTTAGTGTTTTATTTAAATTAATCAGTTTAATTATTAAATAACCTTGTCTATCTCTTTTCAAAAATATAATAAAAACAAAGTTTACCTGTGGATAGCAAGAGACCAACAGATACTTGATACGGAACTAGAACAGCGAACTTACCAAGAAGTAACAGCATGGTCCCGATCAAAGTGGAATCTATGGACTTTGTCATTTCCCATAAGGTAAGAAAAGTTAATGGTATTATGAGAGCACCTAACGTCGCACAGAACTGTAAGGTGGGAAAAATATCAATTTTAATAACAATTGAATTGTAGAAATAGGAAATTAGTCAAATAGCTGAATTTATAAAATATTACTTACTATTCTCATTCCTTCATATCTAGCACCATCATATTTGTCCCCAGGTTTATCGAAAGGAAAGTTCCCATCATATCCTGTCAATTTACCAGATAGTGCTATGAGCATCTGCAAAGAAAAAGCTGTTATATTAGGAGGATTATATTTTTTTTTATATTTTATAGAACATTAAAAAGCAGTCATAAATAACATAAGTGTAATTTGGCATACACTATAGTATTATGTTCAAATAACATTGTATTGTGGCTATTCTGTCTAAACTTTGTGCTCAAATATAGGCTCCCATTTTCTACACTGAAGCTTTTGTACAACACCCTGGAGGACTCAGTTATTGGATATGGGCTGAGTACCTATGGACGAAAATTTAAATCTGTTTTATAAGATATCTATATTCTATTATTTGTTAACACAACAGCTGTTCCTGTAGTTTAAAGTTGAGTATTTCTGAAGCTTCATTATATCTCCATATAATGTGGATAGCAACATATGCTTTTATTTCTATAATTAACTACAATAGTTCTCTTACTTTTCCTAATGGTGGATGAACATCAAAAAAGAAGGTTCTATTTATGTACCAACTAGCCATTTTTCCAAAATGTGTTTCATCCCAACTGAAATTGACAAATATTACATTTAAAATATATATTTACAATTAAAATATGAATACTCTAAGATTAACAATATCATACCATACATGGTCTGGTTCTAAGACTTTGTAAAAACGGGTCAAAAATGTTGCTCCACAGATAATTCCAAATGTTATCCACCATCTGAAAGTATAAGAGTAAAGTTTTGAAAATAACATTTTATATGTTTTAATTATTTGGATAATTTTAATAAGTGTAATATATTATGTCAGGTGTTATTTATATATTGTGTGACCCAGATATTAATTTAGAGAAAATTTCCTCAGTGTCCTCGAAAAATAAGTCTTGATTTACTTAGCTGTAACTTCAAAAAAATATTAATAATAGAGAAGGCATGTTTTATTAAGTTCTGATTATTTTACTACTTACATCTTAACATTTGGGAACTTTGCTGTACATTTCGATTTATTGGGCATTATTATTTTTTTGTCCGAACTATTTTAATTCCAGACAACGTAATTCTTATTTCAAGAAGTCAGTTAATAATTGTACTTCGCATTGTAACGGTATAATATTACTTTTCAAGTGGTGTTACTTCTTCTTTACTTTAATGTATTATTGTAACTATTGTTTCTTTATAAAAGGTTTGTTCCGAGGTTGTTCTTTTATTTATTAATCGTTACATTTACACTTAGATACAATTTCTAACAACAAACACAACTTAACAAGTTCAAAAAATCTGCCAAAACTGTGTTTAGGAAATGTGTCAATACCATCAATGAGTAAATATGCAACGTGTGTGACACAAAAAAGGTAAAGTGTCAATATAACTGTCAGCTTTCAAAATTGACGACTTTGACACTCACCATACACCGATTGGCTGATTGTTGAAATCTGTGTTGATGTTTTGTTAAGTGCAAAACATAATCATTAATCGTATTTTGTTCTTTGATTCATGCACTCTAAAATGAAACGTTATTGCAAATATTTTTAACACGTATGATATTCTGGATCGGAACTTAATTTCTCAGATTTGAATCGGTCAGTCGTTGGTGAAACACGGTGCGATGAGCTAATATAAGCATACGTCATGTCCAAGTTAATTGCGTTATTATTTATTCAATTTCTTGGTATTGCATTGTCTGAGTTTAGTGCGGAGAAGAAAGAACATTTTGTTAATGGACTCATAGAGTACTTAAATAATTTGCCCAACCATCCTTATGTTTACGATGAGGGTACTTTGATAGATGCCCAATATGTGGTGAGTTTTTTTAATGTTTCTTTTGTGTGCACATTTTAAAATTTTAAAAATTCTTAATATTTGTTTTATATAACTATTCCTTATAAAATAATATATAAATGAAATAATGTATATTTTTTAAAAGTAGAAAGTTTAAAAAAAGTAATCATGATTATACTGTCTGTAGTAAATAAAATAAAATTAGCTTAATGAATATAGACTGATGATGATGTAATATAATACCTATCACATCCCTAAAAAACACGTAACAATCTTAATACAAGATTTATAAGATATTAATCAGTAGAAACTTTGAATTGCTAAAAGGTTATCGAAAAGGAGGTCAGCTACAGATATTTATATTTAATGATTATAAATTATGCCCATACAAAATTAAAATAATCCAAGGAACTAAAAGTGCTTTAAAAATTGGCTTTCTATTATTTAAATATTATATAAGTACATATATTATATATTATATACTTTTTGAAAATATATCCTGATTAATATTAATTAAATTAAACATATTCCCTTAGCAGAAAAACTTTTTTTTATGTATCTATTTAAAGGTTAGTGTTTTAGCAAGGCAATACATATTATATAAGAGAAATTATACTTTCTTATTATTCTCAATTTTACAAAAAAATATTACATATATCAAAGAAAGACCTCATTTATATTCAATGTGTAAATATTTAGGCAAATATGGTAGTAAGTAGTAGAAGTACAATACTTTTATTATATCAATAATTATATATATTGTAGTCTTTATAATAAATCTATATAACTAAAACATTTTGTCTTATTCGACATGAAAATAGAAAAAATATCCAATGGAAATCTTAAGTTTGTATGTTTAGCTCAGAAAATATAAGTGTTAGATTTTTGATCTTCATTTAATAATTGTGACCTTGAGACATCTGCAAGACATGAACACTGGTTTACATTATATTTGCAAAAAATCATTATTTACCCGTGTATGTAAGATTAGCTACTATAGACAAAAATTTTAGGTAATATTTACTAGGTGTGATCACATCCTACTATGAGCTACTACTACTGCTATTATTATACATCATACTTTAAAAAATACATATTAATTTTAAATTACAAATATTACAGTCCAATATTATTTTTCAGAACCCAAACAATGATGTCATCCACATAGAAACAGTTCTATATGGTGGTAATGAAGAATATCAGTATAAAAAGAAAAGTGTGAAATGCTCAGCAGACATAATAGATCTCCCAGAGGGTGGCATATCTGTGGAGAGTCAGCCAGAATGCTTCGAGTTCATGGACCATACTCTAGTACCTGATACAGACACAACTACAGCTGAGGATATATATGAAACCACAGACACACCAGAAGCACATACACCCATTCATTTGGACAATGAGGAGCAGACGGAAGGGGTAGATATATATTTTTATATTAAGACAAAAATTCCTCTGAGTTACTGATGTAGTGTACTAAAAAGAACATTAACCGTCTTGTGAATCTTCTGATTATGCTTCACATACATATATCTAGGTATACATATGCCCATAAGCTTTTTTATGATAGAAGTAGGATAGCATAGAGTTCACATAATAGAAGGTGTAATACCCCCGCCATAAAAACAAGATTACAGCATGCGTAACTAAATGGTTAAACGTGTTAGCATTACATTAAGCACGAGAGATCCTAGTTACGAACCTCGGGGTAACAGTAAAATGGTCAGGCAGGTCACAAATTGTATGTAATTAAATTTGATCAGTGAAATGAATACAGGAATGTGTTCCCCGTGCATCGTGCGGGCGTGTGGGGGAAACGGGGTTTCACTTTTACCTAAACGAAATGCGCCGTCAACCTATCTGAAGGTGACTCATAGAATTGAATGCTTTGTAAATCTATCTGATATTAAACATACATTTTAAATACTGTCTATAGTTTAAGCGAGTAGTACACATTTAAATAAAACACTTTAACGGTTTAAAACGCGATATATTAGTTAAACTTATTGAAAATGATTTTTAACTTCGGCCCGACGTTTCGGATGCTTTGCAGCAGCCGTGGTCACGGAGAGACTAAAGATAGAGGATGTCTCTGACGTCAAATTAAACAATTGCTACGATAGCGCACTGGCCGGGTCCTTACAGAATTGACTAACGGTGTCTTCGCGTTTGCCGGTACGCTGTTTATTGGGATTCAGAGTTTTTTTTTTTCGAAACGTCGGGCCGAAGTGAAAAATAATTTTCAAATAAGTTTAACTAATATATCGCGTTATAAACCGTTAAAGTGTTTTATTTAAACATACATATTGGTTATATAATGACGGAAACGGTGTATATGCAAGGCGTTATTTCTTAAGATGCACAAGTGTTAATATTATCTCTAAGCTCAGTTATTTGCTGTTGATTCATGACAATGACGTCTTGACTTCTCGAGATTACTCTGACATTATCAGTGTAAACAATAATGGAGAGCTGAATGACCTACTTTCGTAGTGCGAAAACAGTATATCAATCAATCAGTAGTTTTTATTAACATTTTTGATGAGGCAGTAAAAACGTTATCACGATGCGAAAATTTGCCATATTACTATGGGATTTCAACCTAGGCCTCTGGGATAAAGACAGTGTCATAATAATAATTCAGTAATTGAATATAAGAAACAAAGGAATATATGAAAGGAGGAAATTATTCTTTTTGAGAACTAATGTTGCGTGCGTTGCGTAAACGACCCAAGAAATCAAAATATATGTATGATTCCTCTTTAAATTATCTAAACGTCTGCGACAATATGTCTGTCTTTAAAGATTAACTTTATTATATGATAATGTATGCTTAACGCAAGAACTGTGTTTATGGTAATCAAATTCGATCGAAACTAATTAATTATTGCCAATCATTTGTTTGAGTTGTATCAACATATTAATAATATTAATTTTGCAAACAACAAAACAACATTTACCGGATCAGCTTGTAAAATAGCGTTTGTTTATCACCGTTTAGTTATTGTATTGCAATCAATTTGAAACACCACACTGACATACCGGCTCATAATTGTTATACATTATCGGCATAACATTCGGCAAAGCAAAATACATTGTTGTTGACGTGTAAGACAATTGCGAATCGTTAAGCGTTAATTAGCTTATTGTATTCGTGCGGACAATTGATAAAATTAATTGGACTTTACGATTCTACAGATATATATATTTTTTAGGAGTGAATATCTCTATTTACACAGGCTTTATGAAGTTGTCAGGAATATTACCACTAACAACACTCGAACACAACCTTTCTACAAGGTTACAAGTAGATATTACAAATTTGTTGTCAACTTTCATTTTATATTTAATGTAATACTAAACTTACAAGTTGAATTTAGAATAAGCTTTGAAAAGAGAGATGAGAATTTAGTCTTCATTTTAAATTCTGGTTAATGAAAAAATATTGATATTTTCTACTTAAAAAAGAAAGAAAGAGAAGCGTTTATGATGCACAAATTCACATCCTTTCTTCATAATTGATACTAAAACATGTTAAACATTTTAAACTTATCTTCAGGAACCTTATATAAAGCCTCATCAACAGAATCGTTCCATTGTTTATATGACAAAATGTAAATTAGTTGTAAAAGTGACTAAGGGGCTAACCCGTTCGTGTTTGTATTACGTAATATCTATAATTAATCTTGACCACATGTATTGTCTTATGTAGTGGAATATAAATTAATCTACCACTATATTTAAACTAACTACGCCGAAGACGGAGAGAGATTTAACAATCTATGCGTATGCGTGTGTAGTGTCTTTAATATTCTCTATTCGAGTCTTACGTAAACTTAAAAAAAATACATACATACAAAAATTTTAATTTTCTATCATTAGCTTCTATGTTATATTTTAAGTAGCGACCCGCACCGGCTTCGTTCTTGTACAATGTTAATTCAAAATACACTACGGAAAAACTGTGGATAGTGTGATTCAAGAGGAAAATTTGTATATACGAACAAATTTTCCTCTTGAATCACTCTATCTTTTAAAAAAGCAGCAACAAAATCCTTTGAGTAGTTTTAAAGATTTAAGCGTACATAAGGACAGAAAAAGCGACTTTGTTTTATACTATGCAGTGATAGTGCCTTTTTCAATATTCCCTCGTCGCTCGCTGCCGCCTTCTTTCAATTATACATATACATCTTTACACACAATAAGAACGTTACTATTTTTTGTATGACATAAATGTTGGCCGAATGAGGTGATGTTAATTTAATGCTGAATATTTTTCAGGTAACTTCAGGAGAACAATTCATAGCAATACCGAGGCGTCACGTAAACTCATCGTGCACGGGCTGCGCTGATCACGTCAACCCCGATGCACCTGGCGTCAGTGAACTGGCTGAAATAGCTATTAAGCATCTTGACAAACATGATCCTGCTGTCAAACATATATTAGATACAATACTGGATGTCGAAAGACAAGTACAGGTAATAATTATCATTTAACACTTTTGTCATTGTTACGCTGTTGTCTTTATAGTACACGGTATAATAAATTGATTTAACTAAATATAGCATAGCAAACGTCGTACCATAGTAAAAAATCAATTAAATAACATATTTTTGCGTTTAATACCGTTAAAAGAATTTTATGTAATGTGCACGATACGTATTCAATCTATCTATAATTTAGGGATACATATTTTTATTTTACTTATTCATATAAGGAACTGCTACGTTTTCCTGTTATGTACGTGTACCTATATTATTATTTTCAGATAATCAGTGGCGTCAAGTATACGATTTTAATCAATGTAAATTTTGATAAATGCACACCGTCTAATACGGAGTCATGTTACGAGAATAAATCCTGCAGAGTATCAATACTTGAAAAGACATGGATCAAATATACGGATGGGACAAAATATAGGACTGTCACTGCTAACAATTGCACAGATGCATGGCTTTTTGATGACGAAGCTGAAGCCGTAACCAACGCGAATCGCACTCGAAAGTTGAAAGTAAAATTGAAAGTTAAAGTTAGTGATGCCAAAACGAAAACTACCACTACTTCAGGACCGAATGACGTCCTTCCACCGCCCACCGATGAGGTTATAGATGCGGAACACAGCTCACAGTTAGAAACACAGCAAAGTCAGGCGCCAACTCTTAGTAAAACGGACATCGAAGATATTGAAAAACAAATAATACCACATGACAATAACGAATCATCCAAAGGACCGTCAGAAACACAACCAAATATATCAAATACGGATGATATAAAAGCTTATCACTCAAACGATGTATTATCTGAAAGAGCAATTTATAACGAAAACCCAGTACCCACTCCGAGTCCATCTGAAAATCCCGAGCAATCCTCTTTAACTGATGAAAAGAAACAAGCAATTGATGATCTATTTAATTTTTTTAATTCTGCTGGATTTAATTTTAACACTCCCGATGATTCAATGCGTGTAAAAAGAAGTTACGACAATGATCTACAAATGTTGTCTGTATTAGAAAAAATGTACAAGATAAAAAGCACTATAAAAAATGCAAATTTAATTTATTCCTTAGCCCAGAGTATGATAGAGTATTTAAATGAAATGGACATGGAGATCAAAAATAGAGTTTTGCAAGAGGTTACAATAGCGGAAGAAGAAATCGAAAATTATCAACATTTCTTTTACATACAAGCTCTGGTTGTAATACCATGTAATAAAGTGGACTGTGAAGATGAGAGCAAATTAAAAAAAGTTTGTAATGGCATAATTGAATCCAAAGAAGGCGGGTCTACTGAGGTTTTAACTGCTTTTTGTTATAATGATCCTAAATCAAAATCAACTGTAAGAAAAACAGTCCAAGTACCACTTGATGATCCATTATTAAAACATATGACTAAACTAGCAATAAAGCATATGGAAGGTAACCTTTTAACTAAAAACGCAATAGTAGTGAACCAAATTTTAGATGCTACAGTACGAAGGGAAGCTGGCACATTTACAAAAATATTCGTGGAAGTAATGTTTACAAATTGCAATAGTTCATTGTCATGGAAAAGACGAGAGAACTGCACAGTGATTGAAAGTATGGGGTCGAGCTTTTGCGAAATTAATGTCTTAGAGAGACCTTGGCTTAAAGAGAAAAAAATGACTACCTCTTGTAATGAAAGGCCGGCCGAAGAAACATTTTCTAATATTCACTTACAGCGTAAGGGAGGCGAAAAATTAAACGATCCTACCACCACTGAAATGATTCAACAAGTTCTTCAATATTTAGAATTTAATTCAAATAGAAATAACAAGCAAAGAATCGTTGAAATTAAGGGCATTTCCACAAAAATTTTTGGTGGTCTTATAACACAAATTAATTTAACCGTTGGATATACGTCCTGCGACGATAACTTCATCAATGAAATTGATATTGGATCCTGCAAATTATTGGATGAACCTCTACGATATTGTCAAGCAATGATTTGGGATAGACCTTGGTTAGAAGATGGAAGGCAATTAAATGTGTCTTGTTATAATAATGAGAAGGGTATATCAAGAAATAAAAGAGATACCCTAGTAGGCGGACAAACTGAACAGAACAAAAACGATCCGCGATATATGGTCTTGGCCAAAGAGTCTTTGGCTAAGTATGTTCAAAGTTCAGGTCTATCTAGTCATCATGAGATATTGTCTATTAAAAAAGTGACCAGTCAAGTTGTCTCTGGCTCCTTAACAAGAATTGACTTTGAAGCGAGTCCTACCAACTGTCCTCTAAACACTGATGGCCAGGAAAGTAATGCTAATTGTAAAACGACTGGCGATATAATTAGTTGTCGTGCCAAGATATGGGAACAAGCATGGCGTAATAAAAAAGATATTGATGTATCCTGTCAAATCAACGAAGCTAAATCAAGAAACAAGAGAGACACTCTTGTAGGCGGACAAACTGAACAGAACAAAAACGATCCGCGATATATGGTCTTGGCCAAAGAGTCTTTGGCTAAGTATGTTCAAAGTTCAGGTCTATCTAATCATCATGAGGTATTGTCTATTAAAAAAGTGACCAGTCAAGTTGTCTCTGGCTCCTTAACAAGAATTGACTTTGAAGCGAGTCCTACCAACTGTCCACTAAACACTGATGGCCAGGAAAGTAATGCTAATTGTAAAACGACTGGCGATATAATTAGTTGTCGTGCCAAGATATGGGAACAAGCATGGCGTAATAAAAAAGATATTGATGTGTCCTGTCAAATCAACGAAGCTAAATCAAGAAAGAAGAGAGACACTCTTGTAGGCGGACAAACTGAACAGAACAAAAACGATCCACGATATATGGTCTTGGCCAAAGAGTCTTTGGCTAAGTATGTTCAAAGTTCAGGTCTATCTAGTCATCATGAGGTATTGTCTATTAAAAAAGTGACCAGTCAAGTTGTCTCTGGCTCCTTAACAAGAATTGACTTTGAAGCGAGTCCTACCAACTGTCCTCTAAACACTGATGGCCAGGAAAGTAATGCTAATTGTAAAACGACTGGCGATATAATTAGTTGTCGTGCCAAGATATGGGAACAAGCATGGCGTAATAAAAAAGATATTGATGTATCCTGTCAAATCAACGAAGCTAAATCAAGAAACAAGAGAGACACTCTTGTAGGCGGACAAACTGAACAGAACAAAAACGATCCGCGATATATGGTCTTGGCCAAAGAGTCTTTGGCTAAGTATGTTCAAAGTTCAGGTCTATCTAATCATCATGAGGTATTGTCTATTAAAAAAGTGACCAGTCAAGTTGTCTCTGGCTCCTTAACAAGAATTGACTTTGAAGCGAGTCCTACCAACTGTCCACTAAACACTGATGGCCAGGAAAGTAATGCTAATTGTAAAACGACTGGCGATATAATTAGTTGTCGTGCCAAGATATGGGAACAAGCATGGCGTAATAAAAAAGATATTGATGTGTCCTGTCAAATCAACGAAGCTAAATCAAGAAAGAAGAGAGACACTCTTGTAGGCGGACAAACTGAACAGAACAAAAACGATCCACGATATATGGTCTTGGCCAAAGAGTCTTTGGCTAAGTATGTTCAAAGTTCAGGTCTATCTAATCATCATGAGGTATTGTCTATTAAAAAAGTGACCAGTCAAGTTGTCTCTGGCTCCTTAACAAGAATTGACTTTGAAGCGAGTCCTACCAACTGTCCACTAAACACTGATGGCGAGGAAAGTAATGCTAATTGTAAAACGACTGGCGATATAATTAGTTGTCGTGCCAAGATATGGGAACAAGCATGGCGTAATAAAAAAGATATTGATGTGTCCTGTCAAATCAACGAAGCTAAATCAAGAAAGAAGAGAGACACTCTTGTAGGCGGACAAACTGAACAGAACAAAAACGATCCACGATATATGGTCTTGGCCAAAGAGTCTTTGGCTAAGTATGTTCAAAGTTCAGGTCTATCTAATCATCATGAGGTATTGTCTATTAAAAAAGTGACCAGTCAAGTTGTCTCTGGCTCCTTAACAAGAATTGACTTTGAAGCGAGTCCTACCAACTGTCCACTAAACACTGATGGCGAGGAAAGTAATGCTAATTGTAAAACGACTGGCGATATAATTAGTTGTCGCGCCAAGATATGGGAACAAGCATGGCGTAATAAAAAAGATATTGATGTGTCCTGTCAAATCAACGAAGCTAAATCAAGAAAGAAGAGAGACACTCTTGTAGGCGGACAAACTGAACAGAACAAAAACGATCCACGATATATGGCTTGGCCAAAGAGTCTTTGGCTAAGTATGTTCAAAGTTCAGGCTATCTAATATAGAGGTATTGTCTATTAAAAAAGTGACCAGTCAAGTTGTCTCTGGCTCCTTAACAAGAATTGACTTTGAAGCGAGTCCTACCAACTGTCCACTAAACACTGATGGCCAGGAAAGTAATGCTAATTGTAAAACGACTGGCGATATAATTAGTTGTCGCGCCAAGATATGGGAACAAGCATGGCGTAATAAAAAAGATATTGATGTGTCCTGTCAAATCAACGAAGCTAAATCAAGAAAGAAGAGAGACACTCTTGTAGGCGGACAAACTGAACAGAACAAAAACGATCCGCGATATATGGTCTTGGCCAAAGAGTCTTTGGCTAAGTATGTTCAAAGTTCAGGTCTATCTAATCATCATGAGGTATTGTCTATTAAAAAAGTGACCAGTCAAGTTGTCTCTGGCTCCTTAACAAGAATTGACTTTGAAGCGAGTCCTACCAACTGCCCACTAAATACTGATGGCCAGGAAAGTAATGCTAATTGTAAAACGACTGGGGATATAATTAGTTGTCGTGCCAAGATATGGGAACAAGCATGGCGTAATAAAAAAGATATTGATGTATCTTGTCAAATCGACAAAAATAAATCTAGAAGCAAAAGAAATACTCTTGTAGGCGGACAAAATGAACAGGACAAAGACGATCCACAATATAAGGTTCTAGCCAAAGAGTCTTTAGCTAAGTATATTGAAAGCTCGGGTTTATCTAATCAGCACGAGGTATTATCTATTACAAATGTGACTAAACAAATTGTTGCTGGTACCATAACGAGAATAAATTTTGAGGCCAGTCCAACAAACTGCCCTTTCAACACTGTGTTACAGGAAACTAGTTCAAACTGTGAAACAACTGGCGACAATATCGCTTGTCTTGCAACAGTTTGGGAACAACTTTGGATTAATTTCAAACAGATTAATGTAACCTGCGATAATACAAACGAAAAGTCTAGAACCACTAGAGCTCTGGCTAAATACCAGATTCAAAACCCTAAGGATGAAAAATACCGTTTATTGGCTCAGGAATCTTTACAAAAATATCAAGCTTCAAAAAAACTGAAACAAAAACATGAAGTTGTGTCCGTAGATAAGGTGACAACTCAAGTAGTGTCTGGAATCATTTACAAAATAGATTATACAGCAACAGGCATTGCATGTGCGCGGAAGAAGAGATCATGTGGTAAAACAGAAAAAGTTTTACATTGTAGTACAAAAATTTGGGATCGTCCCTGGATACATAGCAAAAAAATTCACGTAAATTGTGTGGAAGATGATGAAAAAGGCGACAACGATAGAAAAAAACGTAGTATTTTTCTAGGAGCTGCTGAAGAAACGGATGTTAATGATGAAAAGTACAGAAATATGGCTGAAGAAGCGATGCAAAAGTATCAAAAAGAGGCCAAAGCCGAGTATATTCATAAAATTGTTAAAATACATCATGCAACCGAGCAAGTCGTAAACGGGGTCTTAACTAAATTAGATTACTCAATCGTACCAACAAATTGTGCTATAGATAGTGAATTTTCTTCGTCTCAATGTGAAATTCAAGATTCCGATAAAGAATTACATTGTTTGGCCAAAATATGGAATAGACCGTGGCTTGACTCGAAAGAAATATCAGTAAATTGTTCCGCAGATGAACCTCAAGTATTGCAAAAATTAAATTCTGAGCTTTTACCTAGACTTAAAAGACAAGCTGACGAAGACTATGTCGACGATGACACCAAGTTCTACTACGCCGATCGCGCAGTGCAGCACATCAATGCCAATTCAAACACAAATAACTTGCAAAAGCTCATAACGATACATGCATTTCAAAGCGGCACTGTCATGGACGTGAATATGATTCGAATGTACATTGAAACCGCATACACGTACTGCCTGCGTCGGCAAGACGAGGCGGTTCTGTCCGAGTGTGCAGAATTGACAGGACAGTTTCATAAGCTATGTTTTGTCCGGTTGTGGCCCTCTCCTGACGACGAGCTCGTGGTAGAGCAAATCAATGTCATATGCGACGATGATAAACAATTTTCAGCCACTACGGGGATATCTGTTAAAGAACTTATTAAAGCCTCTATCGAAGAATTGCAAGCATCGCCGCAAATAAAAACCAAAATTGTAACTGTGGGCGAACCACGTGTGGTACCCCGCCTGGATTATAGGACACCGATTAGGGTGAATTTCCTGGTGGCCTTTACAAATTGTAGCAAAGACGATTTGGACGACTTTGACGATTTAGACGTATTCGCTCTCCAAACGGTGCCATGTGTGGTCACGGGGGAAAGGTCGTTTAAGCAATGTACGTCTAATATTTGGACGACGCAAAAGACTAACAGAATTAAAAGAATAAAGGTTAAATGTCTACTTCCGAACGCTATGCGGAAAAAACGATCGCTTTCCTTAAACACGACGTCCGATGAAATCGCTATAAATGATTTTATCCGAGAGTCTTTAGATAAACTCGAAATGACGTCGCAGCATAAGTACAAACAGAGATTGCTTAAAATAAACAGCTATTCATCCAAAATCACAAGCGGAAAGGTGACGACAATCGACTTCGACGTGGGCTATACGTCGTGCTTGAAATTCGAGTGGGTGGATAATGTAACAGATTGTCAGTTCTTAGATCATCTACCTCGAAGGCATTGTATTTCAACAGTCTGGGAGCGATTGTGGATAGATAATGGCAGAGAGATTGAGGTGCACTGCGAAGACGACGTAACGCCAATAGAGCCTCAGGTGGAATTTGAGAATCCCGAGCTCGCCAAGCAGATGGCTAATGAAGCACTGAAGCACATTGAAGCCAAGTATCTGCACCCGCGCAGGCAGAAGGTAGTTCGTATATTCTCTTTGGAACAACAAACGATCGCCGGCGTCCACTATCGCATGAAGATCGAGATAGGCAACACGAACTGTTTAGCGTTGAGCTTGAACGATACGTGCGAGGTAGTGACGAATTTAGGTCCGAATAGATTCTGCCGAGTGAACGTGTGGATACGGCCCTGGACCGACCACCCTCCGAACTACAGGGTGTCCTGCGATTATGAGGAGGGGGCCACCGGCGAAATATATCGCCATTTGCAAGCCGAGCAACTCTTCCACGACTTTTTAACAACATACAGGCCAGATTACCTGAACGACCCCGACGAAATGATGAAAAGATACAGAACTTTTGAGGACAATGTGAGAAAAATCCATGAAATGAACGTACACGAAAGGGGAACGGCACGATACGCTGTGACCAGGTTTTCCGATTTGACTTATGAGGAGTTCAGCAGCAAGTACTTGGGGTTGAAGCCGAGTTTGCGGGATCCAAATCAGATACCATTCAGAAAGGCGGACATCCCTAACGTTGCTTTACCGGATAAGTTCGACTGGAGGACGTACGGCGCAGTGACTGAGGTGAAAAACCAAGGCTCTTGCGGCAGTTGTTGGGCTTTCAGCGTCACTGGTAAGTTATTTCATAACAAACAAAAAATACTTTGTTACTGCAAAAAAATTATAATAAAGAAATAAGTTTAAAAAAGAAAGTTACAAAAATTTATGGCGAGCAACGGCGGCCTTATCGCTAAAAAGCGATTTCTCCCAGGCAACCTTGTAGATTTACATCAATCATTTCATAATATATATAATATAGTCGTATAAATAGTAAATTTACACATTAACAAATTAGTCTTAACACAACGTCCATTATGTTAAGACTACATTTGTAGTGTCCTGGTCTTAAATTTTTAATAAAATTTCTAATTGTTTTAATTCTAAGGTAACATCGAGGGACAGTGGAAGATTCAGACGGGTGACCTGGTATCTCTTTCGGAGCAAGAGCTGGTGGACTGTGATAAACTGGACGAAGGATGTAATGGCGGTCTTCCTGATAACGCGTATCGGTAAGTAGCACGTAGCTTAATAGGAACATTATTGTCTATTCAGTATATAAAAGATTTGTAATAAACCATCAATATACGCACACACTTGACTTCTTTTGTTGAGAATGTCAAGAGTCATGTAAGTACATATATGCATCATATAAATTTATCATAAACCGTTAAGTAACTACTGTAATTTACGCGAGTACTGCACATCATAAAACATTTTAACAGTTTAAAACGAATCATCGCGTCGGGCCGTAGTTAAAATAAGTTAACCAATATAATTCGCGTTTTAAACCGTTATTTTTTTTTTAATTCATTATATTGACAGAATACATATATGAAATAAAATTTGTGTATTAGTGTATACGCAACGAATAAGTGTAATTCGAACCCGGAACCTCTCGAACTTAACGCAATGCGACGTTACGCGTTTGACCTTTTAGCTACGGTCTTTTTACTTTGCTTACACAATATAAGTTTATGCTAAGTTCCAACTTCAATACTAAACACACTGCTTATTTGGAGGATTTTTACTTTGTGTTTGGCCGGAGATCTGTTTTCTACCTGTGAGAACTCCTGAAGGACAGTAATAAATTCTAATAAAAACCCATCACAAATAACATAACAACGCTTCCCGTTCGATACAACTCCCGTTCTCGTATAGCCAGCTAACTTTACACAAAACTTGTTTTTAGCAAAATATAGGTCAACTTTTAACTCCTGGTCAGGTCAGGGCTGTAACAGGCATTGCAAGTTTTTAATGTTTTTTACAATGCATACGCGTTTTAGAGGACGTTTCTACGATTGTGAAATGAAAATAAATTACTTTTTATTAAAAAACTTTAACGGTTTAAAACGCGATATATATTGAATTGCCGAGTTTTCTAAGCTAAGAGTCAACTGCTATTCAACACTTTGCGTTTGATTAGAATGATAACTATGATGTGTTTGTTTGTCCTTCACCCGAGTCCAAGATTTTCACAGATCGTTCCCTGCTCTTAACTGAATAGTGTTCATGGATTTTCTTTGTTACAGAGCGATAGAACAACTCGGTGGGCTGGAAACTGAGAACGACTATCCCTACGAGGGGGTGGACGATAAATGCTTGTACAACAAGACATTATCCAAGGTACACATTCGCGGCGCTCTCAACATCTCCTCCAATGAAACGGAGATGGCGAAATGGCTCGTTCAAAATGGGCCTATATCCATCGGTACGTATATATTGCGACGGTACTAATATAACCAACCGGTCGTAAATTCGATGCCATTGAGTAACACGCGTGTGTCTATAACTGATTCGTAATTTTTCACAAATATGTTGCAATACGTCTGGAAAGTCTGGATCTCAGAAATATAGAAATTCAGACCGGAGATAGAAAAACCGCGAAGTGTTATCGTGTTTCGGCTTTAATATGTGGTTTCCTGAATGTATAAACTCAAAATTAGTCGACTGCCCGTCCGGTTAAGATGTTGTAGGGCGTTTATCGTTGTAGGTCCTGATCGCCTCGTTTCGGTCGGACAGGGCACAGAGATCTGTTCAACTACTTGTCTGTAAATAAAATCGATCGCTGAACTGCCCTAGATCCACCGATCGATTTTCGCTCAAAATAATTGTCATCACTGCACATGCTAGTTTTTCAGTGGTTTTCATGAGTAAACAATATAATTGCTGACAAATGTGGCATTGATAAGTTATTTAAGTACTTCCCTGTATTCCAATTATTTGAAACAAACAATGAATCATACCGGTTTAATGTTTCGCATTGTTGACATTATCCAAATGAAATAAATCGTTTACGAATGCGCTATAGTGGGTATTGCATTTTGAAGATTCCAAGTGAATATGATTGTACTTTGCAAAGACAGTTTTAGAATAGAAAAAGTTGTGCGAACATATTTCTGCGTCCGTATCACTGATCACAGGTTTCGGGCCCTTACGCTTAACGCAATGCTAGGAAACACGTTCGACATAAAAAAATGAGTTTTCTATACATGGTCGGGAAACGCCCCAGCTAAATTTTAGTATTAGTGACTCGGAAATCTACAGACTGAAACCGGAAAGCGATTAATCTTCACGGCTTTTTCATGTGATGGCTGGTGGTTCATGACCCAAGCGACATTTTGATGTTTAAATATAGTATCCCTATTTTCCGGATAAGGTCATGTTTCATAAAAAATAATTTGATTCAAAACATACAGTCAGTAGTGAGCAAACCCATGACGCGTTTATTTGCGATACATTGTTACTTACCATTGACCATCGAGCTCGTATCTTACGGACTCTCTCTTATTCTAATCCTTAATGTATTCGTGGTAAGGTTGAAAACACAATGCACAGTAAAAGAAGGAGGGTTATAGTCTGTATGATGAAAATAAATAATCATTTCTTTTTTTAGGTATAAACGCAAACGCGATGCAGTTCTACGTGGGGGGTGTGTCCCACCCTTGGCGGATGCTTTGTAGTCCCAACAACTTAGACCATGGGGTTCTTATTGTTGGATTTGGAGTAAAAGGTGATATTTGATAGATAGAGAGTCAAGCTTGGTGTTCACTTAATGGAAGGAGAAATGCCTTATTTTGGCTTTGGTTATTTGAAACTCGATAACACTAAATAATATGAATCTCAAAATAAATCATTTAGGAAAAACTCTACCCCTGCAAACGTAACTGTCTGTAGTTTACGCAAGTAGTACACATTTAAATAAAACACTTTAACGGTTTAAAACGCGATATATATTAGATATGTATTAGTTCGACTTATTTGAAAACTATTCAGAACTGCAGCACCGACGTTTCGGATGCTTTGCAGCAGCCGTGGTCACGGGGAGACTGGAGACCACGGCTGCCGCAAAGCATCGCGTTTTAAACCGTCAAAGTGTTTTATTTAAACTTGATTTTACATATCCTATAAAATGCGGCATTGCTTTTTAATTATTCCAATATCGATCGCATTCAACAGTCAGAAGTCAAGAAACACTTATTTATATAACTACTGGAACGTCAGTGAAAAAACAATTTTTTTTAGTAGGTCATAAATAGCTAGTCGATTTTATTTAATCGAAATACCATAAAATATGAGAGAGATTCACGTATGGTACAGGGCTTGAAGAAGGGAGCGCTTTGAATGCCGGTTCAAGTCCCGCCTTATTTTTTCTATCTAAAAAAGACTTTAATACATATGTATATGTAATTAATTATTTATATGTTTTATTCACTTTTGGAATTAATGCTCAAAATTACAAGTTATCTGTTATATATTTAGTTATAATAGGTGTATTTACTAACAAACATTGTTGTGACTTCCAGATTACCCCCTCTTCCATAAGCACCTACCGTACTGGATAATCAAGAATTCCTGGGGCAAATCGTGGGGAGAGCAGGGCTACTATCGTGTGTATAGAGGCGACGGTACCTGCGGAGTCAACCTCATGGCCAGTAGTTCTATAATATAGTCTAAATAATACGACCCGTAATCTTTAAAAGCGAAAATTTTTACAAACAGTCTATGCTTTGTCTGTTACTTATCGTTTTAAGTTTGCCTGACAAAGATAAAACATAAAATAGCGCATTAAATTAAAACAAAACACTTCTAATGGTTTACATTACGAAATATATTGGTTATTTTAAATTACATTTACCTGCAAAGCTATCCAAAACGTCGGGGCCTTAACTCTTGAATTTAAATAAAACATTTTTGGTCATTTGAAATATGAAACTTAATCTAAAATGTTGGGTACTAATCAAAAAGTTTGGACCCTTAGTTATATTAAATTCAAAATGGCTAAAATTAAATAAGTTTAAACAGAAAACAAATTAAATAAAACACTTTAACGGCTTAAAACGCGATATGTTTATATTAGTTTAAACTCGTTTGAAAATTATGTCTCCTCATGACCACGGCTGCTGCGAAGCATCTGAAACGTCGGGTCGTCGTCGTTAAAATAATATTTAAACAATTTTAACTAAAAAGTATTAATATACATCGCGTTTTAAACCAATAGTGTTTTTTTGAAATGTGTACTGCTCGCATAAAATCGACAATACTTAGCTCTTAGATTTTCATTAATCCAGTTTTAAGAAACATTTCTATAGAAAAAATCCGCTGCTTAATCTTATAGTAATTTGAAGAATCTCTGTATAATTAGTCTAGTCCATTGTTGATTGTTACTTTCTAAAATAGATTTAAAAGCTTCTTTGTTACAGTTGAGAAATTAAATCAATTCGAGATTATTCGTTTATTTGATTTTGCTATCGAATTTGTGTTTGTTTTTAATAGGTCATTTTTGAAAATGTGTTTGTAGCGTTATAAGGGACAGACATAATGTATAAAGTGAAAAAACCAGGATCCACCATACGGTGAATCTAGTGATTAGCAAAAAGTGCCTTACGACACACGTAATAAGGTCTATAATTCAACGCTATTATATTATTTACTCATTACCATTTATAATTTGCATATTTTATATTAATTAACACTTTAAACTTCGTTTATAACCCGCCTTATCGAATATTAAGCACTATTTCTAATTAAAATATTGTTTTTAATGTTTTTCTACTTAAGGATAACTCAATAATAATTTGTCATAATACTGTAAGAACTTAAGTTTTGGAGGTTGTATATTTTAATAAAGAAATTATCAGATTAATATATGTTTTATTGAAATAAAAAACTGATTCATTAGGAAAGCGTATACAGAAAGATGAAAGTAGTGAATACAACAAGTTATGCTACTATTGATACGAAAAAAATAAGTAAGTGAAATCCCGTTTCCCCCTCGTGGGGCATGGGGCGAACACATTCTTGTCTTTTCACTGATCCATTCTTTAACAGGCAAGTAAGTAGTGAGTCAGACTTCTGTGCCCTGTCCGACCGAAACAATTTATTGTCTTCCTGGGATTCGAACCCAGGATCTCTCGCGCTTAACGCAATACTAGGCAATACGAAATAAATAAAGTATATAAAAAAATCTTCATTACTTTACATAAGTACATGTTAGTTATTATTTTGTAGTGTAAAATTTACTTATACTATACTTATAACTGTTTGAAAAATACGTAAAAATATTTGTTAACGTTAAGCTATAGCTGTAGTTAACAGCTTTGAAAGTAACTGTATAAAGTTTAAGAGGCCAAACCCACTGAGTGCTGTAGTGCAACTGATTTATTTCCTATCAATGTCGTTTTAATATAATTTACAAGAAAAGTGGGAAAGTAGGATGCTCACTAAGCTAAACTAACCTAATATTTAAATAAAACCCTTTAACGGTTTAAAACGCGATATATTAGTTAAACTTATTTGGAAATGATCTTAACTTCGGCCCGACGGTTCGGCTGCTTTGCAACAGCCGTCGACACGGCTGGCCGAATAAAATATCGGTTTTCAAATTAAAGGTTTTACTTAATGTGTATATTCGCGTAAACTATAGAATGTTTGAACTAATATTTGTACTACTTGAATAAACACTTGAGTGGGAAAACATTTACAGATTTAGAATTATATTATTTTATAGCATAGCTCGTACGCTATAAAATATTATTATAATAGATAAACAGTAAATTTGTACGGGCGTTCGTCCGTACATTATTAGTACGGATCTTACGTCGGAAACCTTTATCAAATCTTTTGATCGGTCAAGTGCGCTTTTATTTTACCATCTTTTACTTTATTTTTTGTCTATATGTGGAAGGTATTTCTAATCTCAAAGTAAAACTAATGTAGATGGCGCTAGCGTAGCAGTTTTTACTTTGACATTACTGACACCCTCCGTAACGTCCCACGGCTACGACAAAGGATCTGAAAGTTCCGGCCGTACTTAAAATAAACTAAAAATAAGTAAAATGATATATTTCGCATTTTAAATTGTTTAATCGTTATTTAAATGTGTACCTCTTCGTCAACTAAAGACAGGACTTAATAAAGCTACTTTTGTCTACTCGAAGATAACAATCGCTTACCCTCGATTTTCGTAAGCTCATCTCCTACTTCAGTTTTCTCAAGTCAGCGATTCAAGTATTCGTGCCCCAACGAGAGCTTTGACTGATTGCGGATCAGACGTCGCACAGCTCTAAAGCTGAAAAGGTATTGAGCTGATTATTTTTAGCCTTTACGTAGTCTTAAAAGGTGATTATGTTGGTAATTTGGGATGGGCTCATCTATACTAACATATAAAGCTGAGGAGTTTGTTTGTTTGAACGCGCTAATCTCAACTACGAGTTCGAATTGAAAAATTATTTTTGTGTCAATTAGACCGTTTATCGAGGGCCCCTTTAGGCTAAAACATCAGGCCGCGACCAAGGAGCAAAGAAACAGTGGGAAATGTGTATAAACGAGCGCTATGTATAAAAGTATGATTCTTCATTAAATAATCTAAAAAATAACTGCGACAGTATATCGCTTAAGATTAACTCGCAAGAACGATGTGTGGTTACCCACATATATATGTTCTAACCAACGCAAAAAGAAATGTTCAATACGAACCAGTAGTTCCAGAGATTAGCGCGTTCAAATAAACTACAGCTTTATAATATAATTATAACCTTTAAATATAAAAATGACAGTAATCAAAAGGTATAGGTATAAAAACCGCCTTTACTCCCTAGTGAAAGATTTAAAGGTAGACGAGTGTAAAATGTACCGTAACAATTGCCTGTGTTTGAACAGCCTAGACTATTGTCAAGCCGAGGTCGGGGAAAGTGGGCCGTCGAATGTGCTCACGGAATCAGGTTACGGATGCACAGGTACTTGCATTGCATGAAACGTCGAGTTGCCTTTATGAAATTAAAAAATATTACTACTCTATATAGACCGCCTCTGTAGATAAACGGTTAAACTCGTCGCACTTACACGTTTAAAAATCGAATTGTAAATAAGTTTTACTAATAATTTTCGCGTTTTAAGCCGTTAAATGTGTTTAATTTCAATGTTTTTTTAATGATAGAGGTGGACAGACAAGCACGAGTTCCAATTGAAGGTAGGTGATATACCCCAGCCTGTAGCACTTTAGAAGATGCGCCGTCGATCTATTTTGGCTTTGGATATTCGGAAATCCACAGACTGAAACCGAAAGGCGATTAAACTTCACGGCTTTTCAGCAATCGAACCCACGTCCCGTTGATTAGTAGCCATACATTGCCACAATACAGCGCCCTTTAAAAATGTGTACTATTCGCGTAAACTACAAACATTACTTAAGCTTAACATAATAGTAATCAAACAATCTGAAACCAACCATTCATTGCTTGCTACATTACAATAGATTTTTTAAAGTATTGTCTGTATATACATACATACGTATGTAAATACGTTATAATAAGTAGGTATGTAGTCGTACTACAATCCTATAGCCTCCGGCATCGCAGTAGGCTTCTATCGAGTTAGCGAACGTGCTCTTATCGAGTTAACTACCACACAGTTGAAAATACAGGGTGCTTTCCTTATTATATGATTTCCTTTATATCGGAAATCAATAGTCAACGAATTCTATCGTCTTTGCAACTGACTTGGGAAAGGGGATAAACACTTTAACGGTTTAAAACGCGACATATAGTAGTTAAACTTATTGCATTTTTTTAACGGCCCAACGTTTTGGATGCTTTGCAGCAGCCGGGGTTACGAGGAGACTAAAGATGAAGGGTGTCTGACGTCAAAGCTATTGCTGCTACGCCAGAGCCATCTGTTCCGTCGAAGATTGAGTTATATAATACAAATACAAATACAAATTCTTTATTCACCAAAACTGTGTACATATCATTACAGGGTGTGCTAGCCCCCACACTAGGATTCCCTGTGTCGTGGGCGGCTAGACTCTTCCGGTGCATTTCGAGTAAAACAATGAAAAACTTAGTATCTACTATGTACTTATAAAGTTATTATATGCTAAGTATTTAAATAATAAAAAATAAACTTAAAAATATGGATAACATTTTGTCATGCAATTACCTTAATACAGTTTTCTGTTTGAGTATAATTTAATTTTAGAAGAAACACTTTAATTTTATTTAATTGGGAAGAATAAGAAGTAAGAATATAGAATATAATTCTTGTTAGAATTTGTTTTCTTGTAATGTTATATAACTTTATACTCAGAAAACGTCCAGGGCACCGAGTTCTAATGTTCTACAATTCTTTTAGCTTCAAACTGTGCTATGAACATTGATGTTTACAAAAATTTAATTCTTGATCAGTTGATTAAGCGGTTGATTTTTTGTAATTTTAGTTGTAATATTCCATAATCAATATCCTGGACAGTTACTGTAAAATTAAAATATTTAAAATAAAAATCCACCCGTACTGTACAATAGTATTAGGTTTCAAAAAATATTTCTCACCACACTCATGGTGTGGTGTTTAACCCAATCAAGGTAAAGTGCTGTTTGTAGTCTAGGTACACGAGTGGTACACACTTAAATAAACACTTTTAACCGTTTAAAACGCGAAATGATTAGCTAAATTAATTTCTAATTAATTATGTATATGCGAAATGCTAGGCCATATTTAAAGTAATTTGTAAACAAGTTAAGCTATATTTCATGTTTAAAACCGTTAAACATGCTTTACCCCAATCAAGGTTCAGAACTGTTTGTAGTTTTCGTAAATAGTGTACGTAGTTTAAAACGCGAAATGTGTTAGCTAAATCACTCTAATAGTGTAATAGTTAGGACATATTTAAAATAATTTTATAAATAAGTTTAACTAATACATTTCGCGTTTTAAACCACTGAAGGTGTTCCAATCAAGGCAATCAACGCCCGGCACGTGATTACTAATTTAGTTAAAACGCAATATACGGTCGAATAATTCCGTTAAATCTCTCGCTAAGACCTATTTGTTTAGCTCTTCAGCAGCCGTTCAATCTATCTCTCTCGAATGTTGGCTTTCACTTTAAAATTCTGGACGACTAGAAGTGTCGTAATATTGGAGAAATTCAAGGCGTTGTCGGTTAACTGAAAGAAAATTATAAGTTCGAAAAGAACAAAATGTACGAGATGATGAACATCTGTGACTGATTCACAAAATTATATTAAATCAATACAATACAGTCATTCCTTATATTATAAAAATATGGTATTGTTGTTATTTATTTTTATGATAAAAGAGGACAGACAGGCTTTGGCGTTCACTTGATGGATGTTGAAATACCCCAGCCATGTAAAATCTCAACAAGATCTGCTGCCGACCTATTTTTGTTTTTATTTGCAAATCACCAGACTGTAACTTCACGGCTTTATCAGCTGTGGACGGTGGTTCAATATTCTTAACATATATTTAATATCCATATTTCCAAACGAAGTCCAATATTCTTCAGATTACACACGGCTGCTGCAAAGCATCCGAAACGTCGGGCCGTAGTAAATTAAAAAAATAAATCTTTTATTAACATAAAGTACATAACTTATAAGTAAAATTAAAAATAGAAACAGTTAATATATTTTTAAACCGTCAAAATTCGAAATAAATTATAAACGTTTGATGATGTTTGGACTTGATGCAAACAAATCATGATGGTAATAGATAATAAAAATTGTGCGGAATAAAAATTTATATGTAGTAAGAATAAAGTAGATTTAAAATACTTCTTTATATTATTTTCTTCTGATGTAGGCATACTTTGCGGTGCAATCTCAAGCTCTGCTAGAGCTTTTCTGACCGGAAAAACGCTTTTCCTATCTCCCAACATTCAGTCGCAGTTCCTCCACATTTAACATCACCTTTTCTCCGCTGCAAAGTATAAATTGAATGCTATTTTTCAAGAACGATGGCCTAATAGGGAATTTATCTAGATCGTTATTATTTTGTTGTATTCAGGTTGCGGAAACAATATTAATGTACTTACATACAGTCTATAGTTTACGCGAGTAGTACACATTTAAATAAAACACTTTAACGGTTTAATATGCGATATAGTCATAGATCAGTCTCCCCGTGACCACGGCTGCTGCAAAGCATCCGAAACGTCGGACTGAAGTTAAAAATCATTTTCAAATAAGTTTAACTAATATGTCGCGTTTTAAATCGTTAAAGTGTTTTATTTAAATTAATGTACTTGTCAAATGTTCTTTTACAGTTTTTAGTGTTCATATTTTTTCAAACAAAAACAAAGAATAGGTATGCTCTAATAGTAATAAAATAGACACGTTTTTGAATTTATAAGACGAAGCCCAAGTCATCAACAAAGTCACCAAAGATATATTTTTTGAATATTATTTATATTTTTAAAATAAAAACTAAGTGGCTCTAAATTTTTTAAATATAAGTACTAAAACGTGTTATACAAAAGGGCAACTTGGAAATTCGCTCGTGCACCAAAATATATATATTTATATATATTGAAATGAAATTCTAGACTTCCGGCGACAAAATATCCTGTCGGAAAACCGATATGTACTAGAATGAAAAATTGTACATTCGTCATCTATCAACTGTTTTTGGCATCATGACAATCTTATATACTCAGAATTCCCAAATCCCAAAAATTGGCTGATATAATGCTTGTTTCGTTTACAAACTTAAACTGTCATTTTCCTAGGTGCACAGGTGTATTTCGCCTGACTGAATAATGTACAAGCCACTACATTATACAGTACACTATACTTACGATTCAGCAAAGGCACTCGATACACACAAAAGGATCTACGTTGAATTGGAGAATTTTTGAGCGATCTGAAAATGCTAGAGGTTCTTTGATACTCTTCGGAACCTGTATAGAAATTTCTAAAAGCAATATACGATAATATGTAAAACATTGATTATATACATATCTATGGTTAGGTGATTTTTTATAACCTCTGCATGCCCAGAACTAAAACAAGACGACGGCGCGGCTTAATTAGGCGCTAGTGCTTTCTTCAGGTGAAACATGTGCCTGTCTACGTACGTAGTAAAAGTTGTGAAATTGAATAAATAAGTTTAATATATCATTTAAACCTTTTTTCTTCTAGTATTGTGATAGAACGAAATTAATATGTCAATTCATTTCTATCAAACCGGAAATAGTTGTTAAGAAAACGTTTATAAAAATTTAAGTAGTCAACATAACAGTAATGAGTGCAATAACAAAACATGAATAATTTGAAAACGAAACGACCATTATCCGAAGATCTGTATCCATCTAAAGATGTTCAAGATCCCAGTAATTGTGCACCACAAGAAGTATTCAGAAATAATACGACCGCTGTAGAAGTCATTGTAAAACAAGTAGGTAAAAATAAAAATCCAGGAATAGAAAGTCGGAAATGATAAAGTTCATAATCTGTACGTAGACATGGATATCCTGAAGAAAGAACTGCTCAAGGCTAACAGCAATCTTGAAGAGACAAGAAAGAGCTATAAATTGGTGTTATGCGAAATCAAGAAACAATTAGACGCAGCTAACGAGAGAGCACTGAAACGACAAACACAGAATGTACTTTTGCAATTCGAGAATGAGAAGGTAAAGACATTGTTAGCTTCAAAGTCCAATTTAGTGATGAAACTAAAGAAGGAATTGATAAATATGAGGCGAATACTAAAATTCGTTATTCGAGGCATACATTTTATTCCAGAATTTGAGGTTGAATCAGATTACGCGGAGTTTGAAAAGGAGCTAAAGAGAAGTGCTTCATTGAAAAATACTAAAGCTTTGGACTTAGATGGCTATACCTTTGATAGTTTGTTTTCAAGTTAGTTTCACTTTTGAAATAGGTTCTTTGTCTTTACTATTGTTTGTTATTACAATTTAAAGTTTTGTATATTGTTTTTATTTGCGTAAATCAGTTAGAATTAAATCAATAATTTACTACCAGAGGGGTCTCGTGAAAATAAACTAATATGTATAAATAGAGTTACCGGAATTTTTCTAGTTTTAATAACTAGAAATTAATAGGCACCATGAATAAAACAGAACAAACAATAAGCGATTAAAATATTATTTTATCTTATAAAAGTGCAATTTATTTACGATAGTGTCAATTTAAATTTTTAATTTTAGCTCAGTGTATATTTTATACATTAATTATATTTTATTTATATTTTTTTTAAAATTAGGACTTATTTCTTTACATTATTTATTTATTACAGCTTTAAACTATTTATTACTACGTACCATAAAACAAAAACTCAAAGAGGTAAAATCTTACACACTAACTTATAAATAAAGGTAGGCGGCCTTATTGACTAAAGCGAAGCGATCTCTTCCAGGCAAACGTGAAGTACAGAGAGTAAAGTAAAAACAATTTATATAAGAGGGTTAGGTTTAGGCGAATGATTTAAAAAAACAGAAGGAACATCGTAAAAGTATACTATTTGAAAATGATTTTTAACTTCGGCCTGACGTTTCGGAGCAAGTAAAAGAAGTTAACTAATTTAAGGGTTGGAAAGATAAATTTATTTAATTATTTATATTTCTTTATTAATATGTTGGGTGGTAAATTTATATTATAAGCGTATTACATTTCACGTTTACGTATATGTACATATAAGAATAACATTATTTTGTATTTAAACGTGATATAAATGGTAGGCAGCAAGGTAAAGTGGAACGCAGTTATCGTTATTATAACTAGTACCAGATTGAATAATTATTACTCTCAGCCGAAGGGAATCAATCCCGGGTGCAAGTGAATACCCGGGCGGTGCATACCCGGGTAACCCGGTCACACCGCGACCGGGTCACGCGGTCGAAGCACATTGTACCCGGTGCCCCCGAGATGCCCCGCCTCCGTTCACCTCATTAAATCTAAAACCGATATTCTACAACTTCGAGATACATTAACGGACCAATAAAGCAATCGAATGATTGCTACAGTACAAAAGAAGCGGTGGACATAAACTTTTATCAATTTTGTGATCTTAAAAAAATATGTCTAGAGTTTGACTGTTCCTCTAAATGCAATATTGTCATCAATAAAACACTAAAAGGTGGTGAATGTAATTTGTTCTTGTAATTGTTTGCGTTAAAACCTTAATAAAAAAGTACGCTAAAATCAAAGTAAGAACTTTTTGAACACTTTAATATTTTACATTTTTATTTTAAAATTATATACCGCACACGAAGGCGGTACATAACTAAAAAATCTAAAATATATCGAAAAAAAAATCGACTCGGTCAGGACTTGAACCGGCAACGTCGGCGTTCCCGGGGTTTTTTTTCCCAACCCGGGTGGGCCCGCCCGACTCGAAAATTTTTAAAATTTATTTTCGATTTTCAAGTGATACAAGAACATTTTACGAATTATAGTAACTAGTTAGGAGTGCAGTACCATAATCCAGTAAAATTAAATGTTTTAGATTTTAGTATAACTAAATTTTCCATTTAATGGAATAAAAATAAAGTTTAAAGTTTAGAATATTTTTTAAAGTTTATATACCTACACAATAAAGTCATGAAGCAAGCATTCTTATAAGAAAGAAGTTATTATATAAAACTGTTTTAAAAAACGATATATTTAATATTATCGTATTCTATTAATATGATCCTGGAATATTTGTCTGATTGGATTTATGCAATGGAGACTTGAGAGAAGCTGTGAGGATAACAAGCAGATCAAATTGATTTATCTAACCACCATTGAGAAGTGTTACGTCAAAAATATTATATAGCACTTATATTTATTACGATATAGGAGGACAGACACGCATAGGTGATCCCTATGCGTTAATGGAAGGTGACCAGAACGATTTTGATGCTCCCACCCCCCGTTTAATGTTAGTTAATGTTTCAGAAAAATCATAAATTGATTAGAAAGATATTGGACCCGGTAGCGAATATATAATAATAAACGGATCGTACCCAAGAAACATTGATTATTATATATTAGCCATATATAGCTTACACCGACGAACCCGTCATTTATTTACTTTTGATTAAAACAAAAGAAAATCTAACGATTTTTGTACTATATAGTGTACTAGCTGTGCCCGCGACTTCGTTCGCGTAGACTAGTGACTTGAAGTAAAAATTTTAATTATTTAGACTGTTTATTAATTTATGTAATTGCACATTTATCGCACCCAATGCTAGTTTGCCGCAACACTCTTACCTCACATCACTCCTACTCTAATTCGCACTTCCACTCTCACTCCCACCCTCACTCCCACTCCTATTCCCAAAAAAGCCAAAGAAGAAAGTTTCATTGTTCTAGCTTCAAACAAACAAACTTTCCATACAAACTTTCCCCCCCCCCCCTTTTAACCCCGTACAACCCTTACCCTTTTCGAAATACAAAGCCTATGTTCTTTCTCAGGGTCTAAACCATCTGTGTACCAAATTTCATTCAAATCCGTTCAGTAGTTTTAGCGTAAAAGAGTAACAGACAGACAGAGTTACATTTGCATTTATAATATTAGTAAGGATTATATACTTTCAGAAAGAAATGACTACCTGTGCTCGCTCCATCGGAATCAATCTTGTAGTAGTTTATTTCTAGGCTTGTGTGTCGCTGACTTTTAATAATTGTCAACTGGTCCATTGACGAAAGTACATAAGTCCCATTTTAAATCTAATTAAACCCACGTCCCATATTTAATAGGGCCCATTTTTAGAGTAGCTTTTAGCTTTGATTAATGTTTTAGTATTCGGGCGTGAGGGGCTCAATTTGGACACAGTTAATGGAACCGCGAGTCATTTACACTTTAACTACGTAGCTAATAACGTACTAACCTTTATCGTATTTTTATTATATCTGTATTATTTTTTGTACGACAGAGAAGGCGGGCCAAGCGTGGGTAGTGCTTGATAGAAGATGAGATTTTCCAACCATATACCGTATACATTTCTGACATTCTTAGGTAAATCGTATGTTCTCACCTATTTCGTGTTTAACATTATCGTAACAATTATATTGTAAATTATTATTTAACTATATTCCATGTTCCTGTTGCAAAGCATCGGAAACAACGAATCATTGTAAAGATTTTAACTACAATATTTTGAATTCTAAGCAGTTACAAATGTTTTATTTATTTTGTACCATTTGCGTAGACTACGATAAATTTAATTATGTGTTGTTTTGCAAGATGACATAATGGGATATGCTTTATACTGTATAAACCTTTGGATTAAATTTGGGGGTAGTTTAGTTTTTTCGATAACGAACTGCGTGAGCGCGCGCTGTCAGTCTCTTTTCTGTTGTGTAATTTGCATAAACGACGTTGGGAGCTTAAATCTATTAAAATGAAAAGGGGGTTTGCGAAAACAAATTTTGATGCCCAAAAAGACTATTCTAGGACGAAGCCGTTAACACAACTAGTATCTAATAAAAGGGTTATTTTTACGAAAACATTAGTAAAGATTCCCTAAAAAAATAATCAACAGTTTTTATTGCAAAAGTAAAAATTAAATTAACGTTTCTCTTTCAAAAAGGTAAACAAAATCAGCGTACATAGAAGTGTCATAGCAAGTACGCGGACACCTAATTTATTTCGAGTTATACCAGTCTGGCAGTTGAAATTGTAAAATCCGTAATTCCACGAACATATTTTGCAGAAAAACTCTCTAACGAGCGTACGTTATTCAATAAAATTCACACTTTACATGCACTGGCTAAGCTAGTTTCATTTTACACTCCTTTTCAGAGATATAAAGGCAACGTCTGAATAGGGCTAAAGCCTTATCGAGTGCATATACTATTTACTAGCCTTTTAATAACTCCTACAGTTGGGAAACCTGTTAATTATTATAAAACGATTCATCTTTTGTAATGTAATGTTATTTTTTTTAAATTAAAAACAAAAAACTAGCACGCTCAATTGCGTATATGTAAATGACGTTTTTTTATAGAGGAAGACAGACTCGTATGGGGTTTCCTTATTTGTAAGTGAAGCGATCAATCATATAACATCCAATCAAGATGATTATCAGCCTATTTTAACTTTGGATATTCGGAAATCCACAGACTGAAACCGAAATAGGATTAAATCTGTCAGCGTTTTCATCTGTGGTTAGAGGTTCGTGACTCGGACGGTATTTCGATATTACCACCATTTAATATCCAGATTTCCACACGAAGTCCAACATGTTTCAGAAAAATTACAAATTGAATTAAAACAGGTTGGTCTCGGGGGGAATCGAACCCACGATTAATTATGAGCCCTTCATTGCTACCATTAAACCAACGAGGCAGTATATAGTCCAAAGATAGAACTTAAAATTGATAAATTCAGTTACCGGTGTTACCTAATAACATTTTTCGTTCACCATTGTGGTTCAACGATCATAGGGCGCACTTATATTCCAGATACGAATCTCATTAATACAAGTTGCATATTATAGAATCCTGTAGAGATTCTGTATCGCTTCTGGCGAAAGCGAACCCCGATTGGCGACTTCTGATCACTCGCCAGTCGGTATAGAGCCTTCGCGGAATGCGCACGTAGACAAACTACTGTAACCCACATGTGACTGTGTTGTTGAGAATATATTTTACCAATAGCAGTTGACTCGTTCAGTATGTGTTTTAATGAAGGACGGCTTTAAAAGGTGTGTATTATTACTATAACTACATATCTGTTAATATGTACGTAATTTGGTTACCTAGCATGTTTTAATATTATTCTAAAATTGTCTTATCGCATGTTATGTGCTTATTAATTAAATAACAAATATAAATAATATTAAACTAATTATTGGTACAGAAGTTGGGTACGCTTGATATGGCTGCAGAATTTGAAGTCCTAAGATATTGTAAAAACTTAGAATACGATATCACAACATATTTTACACTGTAGTAGAACACTTTTAAATAAAATGCTTTAACGGTTTAAAACGCCATTAGTTAAACTTATTTGAAAAACATTTTAACTACGGCCCGACGTTGGGGAGTCTCCCCGTGACCACGGCTGCTGCAAAACGTCGGGCCGTAGTTAAAATAAGTTTAACTAATATATTACGCAGTATAAACCGTTCAAGTATTTAAATATATAATTAGAAATGATATTTATTTCTGTTTCGACATTAATATATTTTTCGCAGTTCTCCTTTAAATGCATAGCCAATACAGTAAAAGGGAAGTATGAATTCTTTAGTGGGTCTGAACATTTTCTTTCGTAAGATTTATTCTTTTTATATTACTGAATCACTTTTTATATATATGTAGGATATATTGTAATTTGTATACACGTAATGATATAAATTACAAATGGGTATTACAACAACTGATTCGGGTTTTAGATGAATTCGTTAAAAAGACACAATTCTGTGTCTCTTTAACGAATTTATTTATAATCAAAAAGTTCATTAGACTGTACAGTGCCGAAATGGAACAATTATGATATACCAGAATTCAAATCCAGGATTGTAACGTCTTCATTTTAGCGTTAAAGCTAAAATGAAGACGTTACAAGTTTTAACTCTTGAGCCAAATATGAGATATATACAAAGTCAAATATATAAAACTTATTGAAGTGACATATCGTTGTAACCAAACTCTTATGTGCATGCTTACATGACATTCGAATCTAAGACCTCTTGCTCATGCCTAATGGTTAACTGATTCATATTTGCGAAAATATAATAACCATAGAATGTAAAGTGTTGTCTATGGTAAACCTAATTTCAAGACGATTAATTTGATTGTTTCCTTGCTTTCAGAGAGTGGTATTTGCTTTCGACTCCGGCAACATAATGTTTTCCTTATGTCGCCGATACAAAGATGAACACGGTAAGTTTTTATTTCGGACTAGCTGTGCCCGCGACTTCGTCCGCGTCCCGTCCTTCTGTTCAGTTCATCTTAAAAGA